TAACATTTTTTAAAAAAAAAAAACATGTTAAGGTATAAACAAAAATAATACTATTCATTCTTATCGAAAGTAATCTCGTCAGATATCACGGTTTGTTATCAAAAATCGATCATAGGTTTCTCCAATCGATAAACGTCTTTAAGTATCTAAAACAGAAAATAGATTTGTTATGTGTAATGACATAACTAGTTAATACAATTCAAAAATAATTGTCAAAGCATTACCTTCCATTGCTCCATATTTAGAGTCATCACGTTTTGAACATTAGGACTCTTCCCCTCTTTTATTTGAGTCATCATGTCTTTTGTACATGATTGAACAACTAAGACTCTAGAGTCATCTGCAATCAAAAAAGAAAAGTATTAAATCACCTTGAAAAAAAATATTACATGGTCCAACAATCAGTAAAAGAAGAGATACCTTTTGATAGTTTTACTTTTCCATCTCTAACTAGAAAAGATACTTGCAAAATATTTTCAATCGTTTTACCGAAGTCACTAGGATGCAAAACAAGTTGAAAGAAGTCAAGAGGTTTTTTATGAGTTCTACAATAAGATGTAATAAACGCCTTCATCTTTACAGTCTGTTCTAAACCTTCTTCTTCTTTATCAACAGCTACAACATTTTCAGGTCTTTTTATTTGTGCTTGAGGTTCTTTAACTGTTACTTTTCTTTTACTGACTTCCTTCTTTTCTAATGGAGCTAAGGTACCTGAAAATTAAAATGAAATCAAAGTATTTTTCATCCTTCTCTTTATTTATTAATATTTAAAAAACCATTATAAAACCTAATAATGTGCTGCATTGAGGTGTTGTTTTAAAACATTTTGTGACTTGATTTTCCAAAAGTGACCAATCCGGTGTTTCTGATTCCCCGTTTGAGAGTTGTTTTACGTATTGTACCTTAATAGAATATCAAAAATTTGTTACAAGAGACAACATGGAGATGTTACGTATCATACTTTAATACATACCACTCTCTGGGCAAATTCCACAGGATTATAGGATGACATGTACTTCGTTAAACTGCGGGTGCATTGTTTCAGAACTTTAGAAGATATGTTCATTATTTCTGAGTCCAATAATACCTCCTCCTGATTCTGTACTAATTACATATTACAAAAAATTGGGTATATTTAAAAATTTATATAAAACATGAAAATAATGAAAATGCATATACTTTTCTCTTCTAAGGTCGTTTCAGAATTTATGGTATCTATTTCTACCATACATGACTCCAAGGTGTGTATTGTATTGTCGTTGACTACATCCTCTAAAATTTAAATATTAATTATTAATTTATGTTTATAAAAGTATAGCAATTTATATCGGGAACTTACGAAGATTTTCAGTTTTAGTTATAATTTTTCTCAAAATTTCCTTGCGTTCCTGTGGAGATCGCGAAATTGAGTCTCTGTTACTTGAGCCGGTCCTGTCCCCAGACATTTCACCGTTTTTCTTTATTAAGAATTTATTATAAAAATATCGGAGCAACGATAGTAACAATACTATTTAAGCACTGTCAACTTCAGTTTCATAAACACACAAAGAAACTATTACAATATTTTCATTGTTTTCAAGGTCGAATCATCTGAACTTACTGACACTCGAGTAATCAGTGGACCTAGCATTAACTAATGTTAACCTTTCATCACTGTGAAACGAGCTATGCTAATATTTACGAACTAATTCACCACGGTGTCTTGAATGTTACTTTTCAAAATTATTTATTTTCACATAATTGCTTTTTCATTTCTCTTTAATTATCTTTTCTGTATTGGAAGACAAATTGAATTTCGAGTGACATAGGCGAGTGCAAAAGAGAGACAGTGATTGCTCAGAAAGGTACTTATATGTACCAGGAAAACTTTGACAGTTCGTGGTTACGGACGGTTTACGTTTCAATTTACATACAAATTTGAAAAAAAGACGGGTATGGAAAACACCTCGAATAAGGTATTGTTTTTCATGTTCTCATTAATTAAAGGAATATGATGTGATTATTATAAAATTTATTTGTAGGAAGAACAGAACAATCAGGATGATTCAGATTCAGAAATAGACGAGGTAGAGCCCAGGCTCAAGTACGTCAGAATGCGAAACGATTTAGAACACATATTGCAGAATGATGCGGCTAGTTGTATCGCTGTACATCCTAAGGTATAAATTAAATAATATTCTTACAAATTTCTTTGTAGTAGTTTGCTGATCTCATGCTATGGAGGTTAAGCCATTTTATCAAAGTCATGGAATACAATAGACGATTTTATATTTTGTACATTACAAGTACCACAGAATTTCATTGATTAAAATAACATTTTTTTCGTCATGTTATTCGCAATGAATTTATTATGTATAAGGAACTTTATTATCTTTTATAGACAATTCAGATTACATTTGTTCTTCATTACAGCAATTAAATTTTTGTTTAGTTTCTGTGCCTGGGCTCTCATTGGGGTATGATCCATCTTCTAGACCACCAAGGCAACAATATTCAGTCGAAGAGTCTACAGGCCCATACTGTTGCCGTTAACCAGATTTCTATAGATCATAATGGAGATTTTATTGCATCCTGTAGCGACGATGGAAAAGTATTCATATACGGTCTTTATAGCACAGAAAATAATCATAACATGAGTATGGGTAGATTGGTAAAAAGTATTGCCATAGATCCGAATTATTCTAAAAGCAGTGGTGGAAGAAGGTTTATTACAGGTACATATTAAAATTACTATGTTTAGTTCTTGGATTTTTTGAAAGGGATTTAATATTATTGTTTCTCAGGTGATGATAAATTAGTCTTGTATGAAAAGACATTTTTATCCAGAATGAAACTTAGTGTATTATGTGAAGTAGAAGGTGGAGTAAAGTCAATCGCATGGATTGGACATTTTGTAGCTTGGGCATCGGATAAAGGTGTTAGGATTTATGATTTAAATGCGAGGTGTTCGTTAGTTCTTATTAAATGGACTAGATCTGCAGAGTAGGTGAAAGTATAATCTTAAAAAGTTTGATAAGACATAGTTGTAGAATAATTTCCTAATTAATACAATTTTGTTTTTTTTTTGCAGTGCATTACCGGAACACTATAGATGTAATTTGAGGTGGTCAGATGATAGAACATTATTAATTGGTTGGGTTGATATAGTAAGGATTTGTCAGATCAGAAAAAGATCGATACAGGAAATGGTTAATAGGAGTTTACCAGAATATGTAGTAGATCCAGGTACATTTATATGTAATCGAATAATTATTCGCGAATGTATTGATGGATTATGAGGATGTATTAAGTAATAGCATTTAATTTCAGTTTCTACATTCCAAGTAGATTTTTACATTTCTGGCATTGCACCATTAGAAAATCAGCTAGTATTATTAGGATGTGTAAAGGAATTAGATGAAAATGGAAAGAGTCAAAGGCCAACGTTACATGTCATTGAACCAAAGTATCAGGACTTCTCTGTTGTCTGTGCTAATTCTCTTACACTTCGTGGTTATAAAGAGTACAGCTGTAATGATTATCATTTAGATTGTTTACAAGAAGAAAATAGGTATACTTAATACTTACTTAATTTGATTACACATTATATAACTTTTATAATTTTCCTTTTCTTCACATTTAGGTTTTTTATTGTGAGTCCAAAAGACATTGTTGTAGCTAGTTTATATGATGCGGATGACAGAATTGAATGGTTATTAAGTCATGGGAAATTTGAGGAAGCATTAGAAGCAGTGACAATAAGTAATGGCAAGGATTGTAACAAATATACCTTAGTTAATGTTGGTCGCGTATATTTAGACCATCTATTAGCTTGTGGGAAGTATGATGAAGCAGGGAAATTATGTTTAAAAGTTTTAGGAAAGGATAAAACATTATGGGAGGAAGAAGTTAATATCATTCATTAAATTACCATTCAATTACTAGTTTGAGTTTAATTTTACTTATGCTATGTTTTGCTACAGGTATATAAATTTGCAAGGGTTCACCAACTAAGATCTATTTCTTCTTATCTTCCAAGAGGCGATGTCACATTAGATCCGTTGATTTATGAAATGGTTCTATATGAATATTTAAAAATGGATCCTGATGGATTTCTTCAACTAGTCAAAGAATGGTCCCCTACATTATATAAAGTTGCAGCTGTCGTTAACGGTGTTTTAGAGCATCTTATAGTTCAAAATCAACGACAAAATGTACTGTTAGAGGCCCTAGCTATTTTATACATTCATGACAAGAAATACGATAAGGCTTTGGCTATGTATTTGAAGCTAAGGCATAAAGATGTATTTCACCTTATTAAAAAGTACAACTTATATTATACTGTCTATGACATGATAGAAGGTTTGATGGACCTGGATGTAGAACGAGCTATACAATTTTTTTTAGAGAAAGACAGAGTGCCATCAGATATTGTTGTACAGAAACTGCAACATAATCATCGATATTTATACTTGGTAAGATATAGAAAATAAGTAACTTAATTTACAATAACTGATACTCAATAATGTAAAAACTGGCACTACCAGTATTTAGATGCGTTAGATAAGAAGGATACAAAAGGTATGAGGGGCAAGTACCATGGATTGCTAGTTCGACTCTATGCAGATTATTCTCGAGATAAATTATTACCACTTTTACGACGGTCTGACAATTACCCGATACAACAAGCATTGGATATTTGTAGTCAGCGGAAATTCTATCCAGAAATGGTATATTTACTTGGTAGAATTGGAAACACTTCTGAAGCTTTAGCACTCATGACACGAGAATTAAACGACATGGAAAGCGCAATTGCTTTTTGCCAAGAACACGATGATGAGGAATTGTGGAACGACTTGATTAATTATTCTTTGGATAAACCTAGTAAGTAATTCCTGTATAATTGTAAAGATATTTCTGTATAATTTGGCTAAATAAAGTCGTTTCATTTCAGAGGCCATTACATTTCTTCTACAGAAGATAGGAACTTATGTAGATCCTAGATTAATGATACAGAAAATAGATCCAAATTTAGAAATTCCTGGTTTAAAAAAAGCTTTAGTCAAAATGATGTGTGATTACAATCTTCAAGTTTCTGTGCAAGAAGGTTGTAAAAAGACATTATCTACTGATTATTTTAATTTACACGAAAGGCTGGTTAGATGTCATCAGAAAGGGATATTTATTGACGGTTAGTTACCTACTAGGAAGCAATTACAATAAACTGTATTAGAGTTAATAATCATAATATTCTTCTGTATCAGATGATCAAATGTGTGGAGCATGCCACAGGAAAATAATTGTAAGAGGTATCTATAAAAATGACAGAAGCTTAAGTTTTACTTTCATCATATTCATACAATTATTATTTGTTGCAGAACCAAGGAACTTAGTTGTATTTTATTGCAAACATTTATTTCATGAAGATTGCTTACCAAATTTCGAAGTAGTGGTATGTATGTTAATTTTTAAGTACTTATAAAATACTTTATAAATTTTCACACACTTTAATTTTATTTTTTAGGAGAATTGTGTCATATGTAACTCACATAAGGATATGTCACCTGGTAGAAAATGATACAGGTAGAATTGATGATTAAATTTTTTAATATATTTCATTCCTTTAACATGTGCATTATTTGATCAATGGTGGAACACTTTGAACATATGTTAATTGTTTTGAGACATCCAGAGCATTTCGATGAGGGCTAGAAGTGATAACGGTTAGCATGAATAATTATAAATATAAAATACACGTGTAACATAAATATTTACTTGATGTTTGTCACAAACTTTTAGAGTTGTGTGACATTTATGGCAAATGGCCTCAAATTGTAAAGTATCTTCGTGGATAATAGATTCTTTTCCCAAACTTGTACCGCTTTTAGATGACTTTGAAATAGATACTTCATGTGACTGTATAGATTGCACAGAATTATACGAGTCCTGAAATTCAATTATCTTCATTATGATTAACTTTAATCTTTAATTGAATACTCACCATGGTATTAGGACATTCTTCTGTAGAAGATCTTGAAGGGATTTCTTTTGGTGTGGCACTCTTTATCTTAAATTCACAAGCACCGCATACAAGCTCAGATTTTTCTTTTGTTAACTGCGATTGTACATCAACATCAGAATTCTCTTTCTGTGTACTGGTCTCCCAAGATATTGGATCTTTGGCAAATGCTTTGAAATGTTGTATTGTAAAATCAATTACATTTTCAGGTTTTACTGTGGAGACCAGTAAAATTTATACTTATTGTAAAATGAACCGCTGGTTAAATAAGTAATATGACCTGTTTAGAAAGAATTTGTACAATGCTTATCCAGCTGTGATTACCAACTAGTAATGTTTGAGTGTAGTCTCTAATCAATTGTTCCACTTCCGGATGATCAGCTAGATATTCTGTGTGTTCAACCATCTTGGAATACTATAAAAATATTGAAAATATATTTTCTTCAATTTTTATATAGTACCAAATGGTACGTGTATTTATTACTGTTTTTTTTACTTTTTTATCTAAATATTTGGAAAACATTTCGATATCTTCTGCCCAGCGATCCCGCAATGGTGTCTCCACGCTGATTGTATTATCCGTGACGGTTGGATCAGCCAGTGGATTTATTTTCAAGATGTAAGGCTTATCCAACCAATTGTGTCGTAGTATTCTACCTTGCGAAGTTAAATAAGTTTTTATAGACTGTACCTCTCCATCCTGTTTGTGCATTTCACGCTCAACTGTGTAGACATTTAGAAAGTGTCCATCCATTTCCATACGTTCACTCGAAGTACATTTCTGTCGCGAAAAAATTGTTTATTTTCATTAAGCAATGTACATTTGTATTTCCTTACATAATTAGATGTTATTAGTTCTCCATCTATGGTGATGGTCTGAAGAGATAATGTTCCTTCATAATTTGTCAGCGCCAAATATCGCATAAGCAATATATTTACTCCTTCGCTGATTAACCGATCATTACAGCAAAAGCTCAAGTCTTTGGTTTCTTCGGATTGATCGCATTGGCAAGTCCGCGTTAGTTTCACATGATAAGAATTATCTTCAATGCCTATATAAATTGATTTTTCATGTAAACTGTCACCTTCGTGCAAGAATCTGAAACATTTTCTTATATTTATAAGTTAAAGATAAAAAGTAACATCGAATCATTAAAAGTGTGTAGTACTGACTCCGTTCTTTTTTCTTCTAGGCAGTGGAACTTCGACGTAACTGAGCTGGTAACTTTTGTCCCACCGAAGTGACCATCGACGGACATCGAAGATTGCACATATACTAAAAATTCATGAGTCTGAGGCCCTATAGACTCAACCAGAATGCAATAACCACCTACTGGTTTTATGTCCTTTGCAAATTCATTTTTTGAACAAACCATTAACGTCTCTCGAAAGCATAAAGCTGTTCGTTTCCCGTGGTCTGAAGTACAAAAGAAAGGAAGAAAGGAAATATTTAAAGATACAGAAACGCGATATCTACTTTGATATTGTTCATCACAACACTCGCAGAAAATAGACACACTACATTCCATATACATCTGGTTTCGCCAACGACGAATAAATTTGCCAATGTGTACATTATATATATTTTTCTATGTCGATTTTTTATTGCGCACCGTTTCCGTGGATGTTCGCATATTTTTATTTTTCGCGTATCTTTATTCGTTGTTGGGGAAATTTTTATTGAAACAAAATGTCTGAATGGGGTGTTAAACCGACATGTTTTTATTCGAGAACTTCTTAAAGATTTTTATTATCGGTGTATGATCGTTGCGTTTTGAAGCGATTGGTCGTAAGCCCTTAATTCGCTGTACATACTTATGTATAAATTCATGCTTCAAAATGAAATTATTCTGTAGTATAAAATGCAGCAGAGAAAAGTAAGCGATCTGCGAAATCATTACTTTGTACAGTAAGGTGCCATTATTGTATAAAATAATTATAGCTCAGTAATACTTAAGAAATTCGATTAGTACTTACATGGATCACGTGTATGTATTATCATTGATACATTTAGAATACTCGAGTTAGGTCTTCGTGTAAATACGATTTTCGAATCGCAATGCAGAAAAACAATAATATATATATATATATGTAATTAATATATAAATTTTTCACGCCGCTTTTGAAATTGTACGTCGGATAATTATTGAAGCTTTTTCGCGGTGATTTTTATAATTAAAGCTCGTTTGATCTAGATAAATGGAATTTAATTTGTTTCTTACGATTAGAACAGACTTTTATTTACCAATTAGAAATTCAGGAATCCATTTCTGAATATCAAACAGTTTGCAGGGAATTTCTTTCCTGTCACGCCACATTCCAGATCTTCTTGCAAATCAAACGTTTTAAAGAAACAAATCAACAAACAGAAGTTAGTTAGTACAATTCGCTTTGAAAAAATGCGCTTGTATGACTGAAGCGAGAATTTAAATTGCATATGGTTAGATCTTAAAGTTGGAGAATGAGTGCCAACAAGATATTAAGAAAACGATTAGATGTTCATGTTTGCGAGCTACCAAAAACGTCGCAGAGTAATTTACCAAAGTTACCGCCTAATGCAAAATTTTATGCTCGCTGGAAACGAAATTTCCAAAAACTCATTTTGGTTTCTGTAAACCATCCACTAACGCGTAACACGCTACGTAGTTATGCTGCTATTGCTTTCGAGAAACGAAGACACGGACGTTCATCATTTTGGTGGATAATACATCCTTGCAGTGACTTAAGGTAACTTTGATTTATTTATTCGGTTACTTCACTAAGAGATTATTAATGGATAATTAAAATGAATATGTATTCGTGTAGGTTTTACTGGGACATTTTAATGACATTTACTTTTTTGTACATGTTGATAGCTGTACCATATATTTTGACATTTCATAGAATAGCAAAAAGTTCTGGCCCAGAAAGTTGGACTCGAGTATACCCTGCATTTATAATTTGTATACTCGATATTAGTTTAAATTTTATAACTGGGTTCACTTCACCCGAGGGTCATGAAATCTTTTTAGATCCAGTTCTGATAACATGGTAATATAATTTATATTTTTCTCTTTTGAAATTTAAAAGTAATTAATTTATCATTTAAAGCAATTATACTTTTTATAGGCATTATGCAAAAAGCTATTTTTTGTTCGATCTTATATCTTCAGTTCCATTCGTATGGTTTTATAAATACAATATACTACCTCCAGGCCCCAACTCAAATTCAGTCTTCTTAATTCCTGAAATTTTACCAATGTTGAAGGTCGTACGCATTTGTACATTACGCTTTTATATAGGGCAAATTACAGCAGTAAGCATGAAGATATCTTTTATGATGTCTTTCAAAGAAATACTGTTTGATTCAGAATTTTTTTTAGAGTTTTACACTTTCTCATGCTACTGATAAAGCAGTTTGGTTAATAATATTCATGTTATTAATATTCCACTGGTGTTGCTGTGCAACACATCTTTTCCCAATTATTTTTGCATATATACATAAAAGAACCATGGAAGTAGGTTTGAGTTTGTTTAAAAAACCGACAGAGGTATGAAACATAATGCTATCTTTGTTATTTTAGGATAGCGGATTGTATTATATTACCACAGGAATATACAAAAGATCGAATTCGGAAATTTATTTATTGTATTTTCATGTGGGTCTGAGCAACTTTTTTGGATCAAGTTTTATAGAATTATATTCTCTGAGTAAAAAAGATACAATAATACGTTGCATACTTTTAATACTAGGGAAAGGATGTTTAATTTATATTATAGGTAATTTTTATTCAATTAAGTTAATGAAATTACTCACTGAAAAAAGATATCGTTTCTCAATTTACACGTCATATAATGTTAATTACTATCAAGTAATGATTTTGCAATTGGCAAAATCAGCCGCAGAACCGGAGCTAAAATATCAACGAATTATGCACAAAGTAAACGAATATATCCACGAGAAAAAGCTTCCAAATCGGCTTAAGAATAAGCTTCTTGCTTATTACGAGTATCGTTTTCAAGGTAGTTTTTTTAAGGAGAAAGACATAGCCAACACTCTATCAAGTAAATATTTCCTATAACAAGATCTATAACTACCAAATACTTTAGAGTGCAAATTTTAGAATTATAAATGTTTACATTTAGATCATTTGTACCAAGAGATTATGATACACAGTAGTCGTGGATTGTTAGATACAGCTACGCTCCTTCATTATTTGCCGCGCAACGTTATTGGAAATTTAATGGGTATGATGCAAAAAAATGAACTTCTTTTTATAGAAAAAAAAATACATCGAAGCTGTAGCATTTTATTATAGCGTAGGAATATCTTTAGGAATTTTAAAACCAGTTATCTATCTGAAGGACGATATTATTTATCAAAGTCAATCCGAAGGCGAGAACATGTACTTTATAATTAGTGGCACCGTCGCCCTCATCACGTTCAATGGAAAAGAAGTAATATAAATCTAATAGACACTGTACATGTTTTCTTTCGAAAAACCTGAGAAATCATCATTTTCATTTTTATTCCCGCAAGATATGTCATGAAAAAGATGGCGGTTATTTTGGAGAAGGCGCTTTAATTTATCCTGATCGAAGGCGACTGGAAACAGCAATGGTGCTTGAAGTTTGCGAATTACTGCGTTTGAATCGTCGCGATTTCAAACGCACCTTTTCATCGACATCGACATTTTACAAAAGACTCGATAAAATTGCGAGAGAGAGACATGAGAAGATGGTGTTCTTGTCTAATGGTCGGAAAGCTCATTTCAAAAATGATAATGTTACCTCGGCTCCAAATGATAATGAAAATAATCAGAACGATCCCGAGGAGAATCCGATGAATGGGAGCAATAATGAAATAAACTATGAAAATAAAATAAATTAAAATATCAAGCTAACAGTCTTTTATATGTGATTGTATTATTTATAATATTTTATATAGACTCGCAAAATTTAAACGAAGTTGATAGCGTTACTAGTACATGTTTGAAAATTGCATCAGAAATTGCACTCCAGCTCCATTATCCATTCGATTGCTCACATTTATTCGCATGCGTTTACTTTGCCAGCTGCTTCCGGTTTCGCGTGTCGCGAAATTTTGGAACTTGAATCGAAGCTACGCAGTGTAATTTATTTTATAGTAATATTAAAGGGTTTAACCTTGCGATAATCGGTAACATTTTTTCGAAATTTTATTTTCAAATCGATTTTTGCTGAACAACTAAAAGCTTATTCAATGTAGATCCAAGAACAATTTAGAATACTGTTATTTATTTTAATTATTTTATTCCGACGGAATTGCATTCGTTATTATTCTTTCATCCACTACTGGAATGTAACATTTTTGTTATTATGTTAAGTAAAGAACTTAGATAATGCACCAGAGGTTAAGTTTATCAACTTGACAAGTTTGCTATACACGTGGCCGGCATATGCGAGTCAGTTTACTCGAAGAATTTTTATCTTTCACTAAATGTTTTAATAACTGATTGTTTCTTATTTTATTTAGAATTGCAAACATGGATGAATCGAAATGGAAAGAAAAGTACGATCTCATCACCAGAAATTTGGCTGAGTGGCTTGGTGATGAGAAACTGAAAAGTATTTTAAAAGAGAGAGATCTTAAGCTCTACTGGGGTACTGCCACTACTGGAAAACCTCACATTGGATACTTCACACCCATGTCCAAGATAGCGGATTTCTTAAGAGCTGATGTGGAAGTTACAATATTATTTGCCGATCTTCACGCTTATCTGGATAACATGAAAGCTCCTTGGAAACTTTTAGATCTTCGTACCCAATACTATGAAGCAGTTATTAAAGCAATGTTGAAGTCCATTGATGTACCTTTAGATAAATTAAAGTTTGTCAAAGGGACTGACTATCAGTTAACTAAGTAAGTAATTATTAATGAGCGTGTTGAATAACATTATTTTTCTAATTCATCAAACAAGAAGACATGTTCTTAATTTATCAAATTCTTTTGCAAGGGAATATACACTGGATGTTTATCGGTTGACCTCTATTGTAACTGAGCATGATGCAAAAAAAGCAGGAGCTGAAGTAGTCAAACAAGTAGCCAATCCTTTGCTCTCTGGATTATTATATCCTGGATTACAAGCTTTGGATGAACAATACCTTAAAGTTGACGCACAATTTGGTGGTGTAGATCAAAGAAAAATTTTCACATTTTCAGAAAAGTACTTACCAATGCTTGGATACGAAAAGTGTATCCATTTAATGAATCCAATGAGTATGTATATAGATGTATGAATAAAATATATTTTTGTAGGTGCAAATAGTGAAGTATATAAATTTTGTTTTAGTTCCTGGTTTAGCTGGTTCGAAGATGTCTTCTTCTGAGGAGGATTCCAAGATCGATCTTTTAGATAATGCAGCAACAGTTAAAAAAAAATTAAAGAAAGCATTCTGTGAGCCTGGTAATATAACTGATAATGGCATTCTGTCATTTGCAAAGTATGTGATATATCCTCTATTTAAAAAAGGGGAATCATTCAATGTACAAAGAACTGCTGAATTTGGTATATATAATTTTAAAACATTTTATTAGTGTTTTTTCCAAATATAGATCTTTATTAATAAAGATCATCCATTATAGGTGGAGATATATCGTTTGATACGTATGAGGACTTAGAGAATGCATTTGCTAAAGAAGAAATACATCCTGGAGACTTGAAGAATGCGATTGAAATTTATATCAATAAACTTTTGGATCCAATTAGGAAAGAATTTGAGGCAAATCCGAAATTAAAATCTTTAGCTAGTAAAGCATATCCACCTCCACAGAAACAAAGTAATATTTGATACATACATTTACAATTTTGGTCAATATATCAGCGGAAATAATAACGTGAAAATTGTGTTGATATAATATTTAGAAGCTACAGAGGAACTAACACCAACCCGATTGGATATCAGAGTTGGAAAAATAGTCGAAGTATCAAAGCATCCAGATGCCGATTCACTTTATGTAGAAAAAATAGATGTAGGAGACGAAAATGGACCTCGTACGATAGTTAGTGGACTTGTAAACTTTGTACCACTAGAGGAGATGAAAGACAGAATGGTGGTTATTCTTGCAAATTTGAAACCAGCAAACCTTAGGGGTATTCAATCTCATGGAATGGTTCTCTGTGCTTCTGTGTATGTTTCAAATCAGATAACATTCTTCTTTTATAATACATCTTATAATTTTTTTCATAAATTTCAAATACAAATAGAGATGAACCTACAAAGCGGGTTGAACCATTAAGACCTCCAACAAATAGTAAGCCTGGTGATAAAATCACTGTGGAAGGATACGAGAATGGAACGCCCGATGACATTCTTAATCCAAAGAAGAAAGTGTGGGAAAAATTACAAGTATGCTTTTTCCCTTTTACATTATCGCATAAAAGGTTTTGCGTCATTGATTTATTAATATTTAATTTTTGTAGCCCGATCTTGTAGTAAATGGTAACGGAGAAGCATCTTGGAGCGGAAACCCCTTGTTCACTGCCAGCGGTGGTAAAATTACAGCCGACAGCCTCAAAAACGTACCAATTAAATAATTTATTCCTGGGGTACTTAGGATTTCCATTTTTATTATTTACTTATCGAAAAATAGATCACGCGTGATCTGTTGAACAAATGTGCTTGATATTTAAGATTGCCGGGTTTATTTTATTTTATTGTTAGCATCAAATTTTTTGTATTTTTCAAATGTGACCTTCACGAGAATAGATAGTCACGTCGTTACAAGAAATTGTATATGTTTGTTGGTACATGTTTTATAATATCTCTATCCTGTCCTTACTAGACTAGCGTAATGATGTATTGTTTATGATGAATTTTATTATTAATACTATTCCATTTACAATACCAAACTAAATTGGATTTGTGTTTAAGTGTGCTTTGTTGGCACTAGATAAAATGTTTGGTATTGTATATCTTTCATTATAGTTCATTCTTATACAAGGAGAACGTGGTCTTAAGCAATGGTCTGATTTCAACTGTGAAATACTACATGGTTTTGACTCCTGCTCCTTTTTCTTGTGGATAAGCCAGGATGTAACAGAACATAACGATAATTCCTTCCTCAATGAACTGCTGCTCCAACCGTACAATAAAGGATTTACAGCTGCATTGACCAACACCAGGTATTTACTCATATACCTATAATACAATTTAATATTATTTTATGTGTTTTATGTGAATTGTTCAGAGTTATACAAGCATTCACCATAGTGGATACATGATCCGTGCTTGTCCTAGTTTTGGAATTCCTTGTAATAATTGACTTCTAGTAATTATTAATGCCGTAAAGGGTACACGACCTATTATAAACACCAAGACTATAAGAGCCAAGACCTGAGCTACTCTGCCCTTATATTTCACCACTATTGGGTATTTACTTCTCAATGCTTGTGATTCATAGCGATCTAACTGCAAAAAACGAAATAAACCTCTGGTAGTATATTCTTTTATTATAAATAACAAAATTTATACTAATACTTTAATTAGAATAGCTGAATAACATATGGCCATGATGGCCAATGGTGCCCAGACACTCAAGCCTGCAAATATATGCCAATATGGGTAGACCAACGCTGCATCTTCAGTACAGAAAGTTTCCAAATAATTTTTCCATTGTCTCTCATAATAATGCCTAAAGTAGGACAGAGGAGCTGCAACAGCTATAGCAGAAATCCAAGTAGTGAAGAGCAATATATAGGTCATCCTTAAACATAAAAGCATGATATAATGCATCTTTGCACTCGTGAGTTTTTAACATTATTTTCTAGTGTCACCTTCTCGTTAGTTTTCCTGCACAATTGAATACAATCGCAGAAACACGGTCGTAACTGATTGCACTTAAATTAAAGACAGCTACCAACGTTAGAGCATGCAGCAATGATCCATCCAGTCGACAACCAATATCTCCCAAAATATAATTCTCAAATAGATCTGTACAGAGGAACATCCATGGGCATATCAAGCAAGTGCCTAAGTCCGCGATGCACATATTCACGATCAGGAGGTTTGTGGTAGTCTGAAGGGATTTTTCTTTAACTACCACATAAATCAAGCCACTGTTAGCTAGAGACCCGATAACGACGATTGGTAGAACACTGAGAATTTTTACGATTACTTCCCACGTAGGTCTTATTCCCCAAATTTCTGAAGGAAACAGGTATTTGCTGGTATCGATGTCTTCCCACTAAGAACCCACAAACTTTGTCAGTTACTCCACAAATTGACATAGATTAACATTCAGTTTAATGAACAATCATACTTTTGAACTAGTAGTAGAGATTTCATATTTGTTTTCCACGTGACAATTCCATTGCACGTTTAAAATAATGCTTCTGTTCTGCAATATCAAAGTCTCCATGCTGTTTACAGTTGTTTTACTATATGGGCATGACAAGGATTCAAATAGAGTACTGAGGCTTAATAATTGTAATCTGGATATAACAGATGGCCCATTAGTATTAAGAGTAAGTCTGTTTGCACAGCTCTCTAGATACAGTAGGTATAAAAAGTATTTGCACTTTCAGTTCTCTTACAACTAATATATTTAAACACGGAAAGAATGAATTAAAAATTGAATTATATTTGAAAGCTTATTACAATGCAAAATTTTTATTCAAGTAATCTTTTAAGTAATTTAGGAAAACGACAGTGTAAACACTTGATGTTCCTATTGTAGCAAATAAATAATTGAACATTTTTGTCGTTGATGGATTATTTATTATAGATAATACTATTTAAATTTTTAACGTTATTTTTATTTGGTTGCAAATTTGTGCACGTACGTACACGTTTATTTTACACAGATATTTATCAATAGTGTGCACTCAATTTTTTTTAGTAAGGTTAAATTAATTGGTCTCTTATATACAAATATATAAATTTGGCACGCTCAAATAAAAATACAAATTTGTCTATGGCTGCATTATTTTTCGTATTATATATTTCACATGAAACTTTTCGCGTTTATTTGTACTTGGTAGATTACTTCCTAATCAGTCGTACCCAGAACTATCCGGATGAACATTTCTCTTATAATTTTCAAAGAATACAGTGTATGTTCCATTCTGTTTCAATATATGAAAAATATATAAACATTATGCTCTCAAAATGTTTTAAGTTACGTGCGTAAATAGTTCTGTGTCGCTTTCAGTAGTAACAAGTATTGGCTCCTCGAAAAAGAATAAAATTAATTGAAATCGTAAATTCTTTACAAAACAGTTCACACAAATACATTTGTATTTTTATACTATTGTAGATTCTAACATTAATGGAACTTAAATTAGCGATAAAACTAATCTTTGATCTCCGTTAGATTCTTTACTCTATTTGGGGTTTCAAAATAAAGTAATATTCTGTAACTTTTTTCCTTCTGTTTTAATATCGAATTAAATTAAGAAGCAAAGAAATAAAGAAAAACAATTGAAATTGTAGGGAATCACATTGCAACAAACAATTGAACTTATCATCTTAAAATACATTACAAATTAAATAATATAAATTCATTTTACTCCAATATATTAAATAGGCACAATAAAAACTATACTTTCTCATAATATAATAGCTACTCGTATTTAACATTTTTCTCTATCCGTACAGTACCAAATGAAGATATACAAATTTGTAATATGTTATTTACAAACCAATACTATCTCATCCCTAGTCACAGCAGTTTGTATTAGAATGTTCGTCCTTAGAACTAAAAATTTCATACTAATTCAACGCGTGAATAGTAATATCCTGCCGATACAATCCCCGAGTTCTACATAAAATAGGAAATAATTCGTCATTACATTCATCGGTATATTGAACAATATTAAACTACAATTTATAACAAACATTTGACTAGCTTTCATAGTCTTATTCTGTGTCCTCCGCTTCTGATGATTGTGCGACTGGTAATGGAGAGGGGATGACCAATTCATCATCCTCCACTTCCTCCTCTGCCAGCAAGAAATCCTCTCCTTCGTGAACTTCCTCTTCTCTCGCTGGTTCCGGAGGAGCTAATACATCTTGTCCGTGTTGTTTCAGGTGATCCTTTAATGCGAACGCTCTGCCATACGACGCACCACAAATATAACAACTAAATTTCAAATTGTTATCTTTCTTGTGTGTCTGTATGTGAGCACGAGCAGCGTACAGCGAGGCAAATGGCCGGGAACACTCGGTGCATCGGAACGGTTTTGTATGACTGTTTTTATGACCTGCTAATTGAACTCGTGTTTTAAAAGTTTTCGGGCAATACGGGCAGGTATAAGCACGCTCGTCTCCATGTGTAAGTAAATGGTGATTGTACACAGAGGACGCTTTGAATCTCTTTCCGCAATGTTGACATCCGTAAGGTCTCACACCGGTGTGAGTTCTCATATGTAAAGTCAAACAATAAGAGACACGAAACGTTTTACCGCAGACCTGTCGATGGATAAACATTAATGTATCTCGTTACGATTTCGAATTTTATATAGTTATAGTTTTATATGGAAACTTTGTACGATCAAAGTAAACTCGTTCCGGATGAATCCTACTCACTTCGCATGCATGTGGTTTTTCTCCAGTGTGAATTCGTTCGTGCTTCACTTTTTCGTGAGGTCTTGTAAATCTACGACCGCAGTGTTGACACTGATAGGGCTTTTGATTTTCTGTGGGTTCTGCGGTCACGGTTTCCGTCACGGGCGGTGTTGGCGAGTGCGACTGACTGATCTCCGTATGTACTGCGGCATGCATCGCTAAACTATCAGCGGAATCAAACTTGCGATTGCAAACCGTACAAGTCACGGAGTCACCAGAATGCAATGCCATGTGCGCTTCTTTGTATGATTCTGCTAATGTTTTGCCTGTAAGTAATCGGTTGACACTTAAGTTTCATAATTTATTAACAAGCAAACGATAATGGAATATGAATTATTACCGCACTCAGGGCACGTGAACGTGGCACTGGGTGTTCCCTCAGGAGCATCAACGTGTCTTGCTCTGACCGGCGCGTGCATTCGAGAATGCAGGCGCAAGCTTTTATGTGAACAGAACTCCGTGCCGCATGTTTCACATACAAAAGTTTTTTGATTCGGATCTGGTTCACCCTCGTGAACCTTTGCGTGGAGTTGCAACGCTTTTGGCGTTGCAAACGTTTGATCACAACTGTCGCAACGGTTATTGCCGTGGAGACACGCGTGTACCCGGAAGTTTACTAATTTGGAAAACTGTTGAAGGCACTGGTTACATCTGTACATTCTCATTGGCGCTGCAGCCAATCTCTTCTCGCGTACCTGCGATTCATTCGAAGTGAAACATTAAAAGATTTGGTTTAATTATAAGTTAATATGTCACAGATATGTAGGCGTTTGTCATACTTTTACTCCTTCTACATTAGAAAAAAATTTTTCTATCATTGGTGCCTTTGTAGACTGTAAAGGTGACTGAGCTGGAGATCTATCCCAAAACCTTTCTATTTGTACTACTTTTCGCGTATATAATCGTCCTTCGCTGTCTACACACTCTTCTGTACGCAGAGTGTTCATGCTTTGCCTTTGTCGTGGATTAGCTACATTTCCTGATTCTGGTGGTACGGTATTAGTTGCAGGTACAGTAGGTAAATCATCTAATTGATCAGCTATTTCAAGTAATACTTCTTGGCCATCATGAAATTGTTTTATATGCTCGACAACGGAATTAAAACTCATATCACAGCTAGTACAACTGTAAACAGCTTCTGGTTCTATCTATAAAAGTTAAATATGCATTTGGTTTAATAGCTTCATCTATATTTTGAATATTGGCACTTGTTTGTACCTCACAAAGTTCTTGTTTCACATGTAACAATCCGTCTTCGTCTAATTCACCTACATCATTTATATGGTCTATATTTATCAAATCTCCAGTTTCTCCATCAAGAAGTTCTGAACCCTCAGGCAAAATTGTAATTATATTTTTATTTCCATCCTTATCGTCTGCCTCAGCTGCTGAAATGGTTACTATATGATCCTGGGTCAAGGATTTTTCCTCTTCTTTTTCTGTAGTACTAGGAACTTTTTCTGTCATTTTAAATTCCAAAGAGTTTCGCTCCATGTCTGCCTCTTCAGTTTCCATTTTCTCTACAACTTTAATCTCTCCTGATATGTGTGTTAGAAGAATATAAAATAGAAAATAGAAGTAATACTGATTAAATTAGGATTTTTACACACCATTTTCATCGACTTGAATAGTTTGAGGCCCCCCCACTATCATAATTCCACTGTCATTTACAGTTGCTAGAAAACTTTGGTCTATATCTTCAACATTGGTGTCCTAAAGTAAGAATCATTGAATCAAAATCAAGGTAGTTATAAATATAAAAATCTTTATCCACTACCAACCATTAGCACTGTTGTATTCGTCTCTGTTTCTCGTTGAGCCTCTTCTATAGACTCTTCTTTCATTTCAGATGGTTCCTCTGAATCAGCACTTTGCCCGCACCGGTCCAAATGTTGAATAAGTGCCATTACAGAGTCAGAACGCTGGGAACAACTAGGACAGTACAGGTTGTCTGTCATGCTTAATAAATGGTATTTCAGTGACTGTGGATTGTTGAAAGTTTCTCCACAGCACATAGGACAAACAAGGTTCAACGATCCCATATCTTTTTCGCTTAGACGTTGACCTCGTCGAGGATCTTAGTTGACCCTAACCTGACCCTCTATTAATATATTAATCTAATTTGATTTTTTTAATACTTGGCTACTTTAGCCTTAATTTAAAAAGAAAGCCGGCTTCTTTTTGATAGGAACCTAACCTGACGTCGAATCACGAAAATAAGTGAAATTGGTCGAACGTGTTCGGATACCGAACAATGTCATGTTGTTTCCTCCAGGGTCTTTCCGTTCTCGTGAAAATTTCACTTATTCTTAACAAATTGTATTGCACAGAAGTTAATAGCACCTCGTTTCCGAAATAATTGCAATAACAAAACTCATTAGAGACGAACTTCAGCGCAAACAAATGCCGCACACAACAATCATGAAGTTAGGGAAGTGATAAGTGAATCGCGAAGTCGGCCATTACATGCGAGTTTCGGTGTAGTACTATGGAAGTCAAATTTCAGTTTCGTCATTTGCGACTGAATTATGATAATACACGATAATAAGAATTATATTTTCTTTGAGTCGCTTAAATTATTATATTACGTAAGCAGCATTAAAAATATTATATTTGTCAATGCTAAGGGAACACGAATTAGTCGGTTCATTGACAAGAGGCGCGCAATATTTTCCAGTTCCGTTTAAATGTAACTTTGTGATTGCGAAACTTCCCGTAATAGCGCGTTATTCATTAATAAATTTGACATTAATATATCCTTTCTACTAAGAGGGCAATTATTAATTAGTATAAAACAATTAGATTCGTAAATAATATCTAATGTATTGTTCATCAGTAGCGTACAAATGTTTAAAAACGGTGGCAGATGGTAATAAGCAGGGGGAGTGAGTAAATTAATTTTCCAAACAACATTTACGCCTTCTATTTATTAAGATATATTTACATTGTTTTAATTAACAATTACCACACGTATCTTCACGTAACTTAAAAATCTTTTAATACCATAAGTTCGTATTTTACATCATGCTTTGTACATGAAGCAGCAAGTATAGTCTCTTTTTGATATTTTAGTCAGCATGTTCATGTTGAGCGTTACTTTCACGCCACGTGTTCTGAACTAACTCGACAAATTGTTGCCACCATCTGCTCTGCAATGTGAAATAAAGAGCACAGGCAGCAATGAAAACCCATGAAAGAACTAAACAATAATCCGTTTCATTTGACGGTGTGCTGGAGACTGGACCAGCAAAGTCTAATGATGTGACATACAAGGATCCATTCGGTTGTAAATTAGTCGTGTACGTTATAAATCTTGCAAAAGATTCCAATGTGTATACAGTGTCGTTAAATTTTGCCACAGGTTTCCCATTATGAATTAGCATCAGGGTAGGAACACCAACAATTCCATACTGAGCATTGAATCTGTAAGAATATGAAATACATTAATAATAGTCAATCTTCATCAATGTAATTTAATATAATAGTTTGTAGTATTACATTTGGTATTTCATAGCATCAATTGCTACTGCTTTGATGTGTGGGAAGAAACGTGGTAATGCATTAAAATGTGGCGCAGCTTGACTGCTGAATACACACCACCTTGCATAAAATAATACTATCACACATGTTCCTGGTACCTGATACCAGGGTTTACCTTCTTTGTCGTTTCTACTTCTATTTGTTGGTCCTGGTTCTAAGATCAATAATTTCATTAGGCTGGTTGCATTGCCAATCTGTAATAATTATCACATTATAATCACTCTTACATACTTTACATCAACAATTCTTTAATCTCTAAGATCTCACCTCTACTGGCCCATAAATTGTATCGGTCAAACAATTAAATGTAATTTTATTAAAGGAAGAATTGTTTACTGTTACATTCGTTTCAATGGTTTTATTCTCAGACTCTGTTTCTCCAAGGACAATTATTGTTTGAACTAGGAAAATAAAGAAAAATTACTGGTTTGATAGACCATTTCAATCTCTTTGATAGACAGCGGATTTTATGAATTTCTAGCAAATGTAAGTATATAAAATATATACGAATATAAAGACTTTAACTTGTTAACCAACTATGTGTTTTGTACTCATATTTATTTGTATATAATCATTTACTATAATTTTGTAACAGTATCTATAACAGAATCTATAAATTAGATCGCTAATTACGAGGAAAATTATTTGAAATCATTTTTATTCATCTTTAATTTATTTCTGATCGAAAAATCGTACGGTTAACAGGTTAATGAAAGTATAACAATACTCGTATAAAATAGACAAGAAATTGCTAAATTTTCATAAACATCCGCAGTCCATTTATTTAAACATAGAAAAAGATATTGCCACTTCACCTAAAGCTATGATAAATAAACAAAAGTTTCTTCTAGGGGAAAACATCTTATGTACATAACCTATAAACTGCACGCACGTCTCTTATATAAAGTGAAAAATAGATGCATCCAATTTTCGATTAATTTATATGTGACGCAAGTATGCACTGTGTTCAACGAACAATCATAATTGGTACGTAATACGTGGTGTGACACTCGCGGAAAATAAATTTATGCATTATTTTTATTTTGATTCTCAATGATGGAACAGAGGTAAGTACAATCGATTATTCTAGTCGAGTTAATTAACTATCGTATATCCTGCAAGTCGATTCTTACTATCGATTCACGTTTTAAAAGTCTGTACAACTCGGGGTTAGAGCAGATTACAATAAACACGCAATTTTCTCCAGGAACGTAACACGATGCAGAAATATACGCTTTAACGAAGATTCCTTTTAAAGTAGTAACTGTAATTATATCTATTTCATATTTTACTGAAATAATATCTAATTTATTAAAAGAAACAAACTACAATACATATTACTAATAATTTTATACACAATAACGAAATAATCGTCAATAATTCTGCGTTCGAATATAGTGCAAGTCAGTACGATCCTGCTCGCTATCAAACGGACCAATAAGAGAACCACCACGTGATATTATATTGTCGCCATTGTTGTTATAATTTGCGCTAATCGTAAGTTGAATAATGGCAAACTTCAGTACGATTATCTTTGACTGGAAAATTGGCTATTAACACTGGGTATAATTTTTTCCCTTACTTGTACTGGTATAATATTAAATAGTATTTACAATTTTCATATATTTTTTTCTGTTTCATATAACCAAAGAATCATTTAAATAGTCGACCAAATATTCATCGCTGGAATTGCCCGATACTTTGAATATCAGTAAACGAAATCAATTTTATTCTGTACGCATCCGAACATCATTGTTTCGCGCCTTTCCAGTTCTGTTCTAGAAACGTATACAATGACATTGTGAAACCTCATGATAAATGACTGTTTCAGTTACCATCCGACCGTCATAGACGACGGATCATTTGCATACTCGAGCGCATCTCGTCACCTTGTTTCTTCTCCACTCTATAGTGGTCTTCGAATCTTTCCAATTGTGACCCAACACGCAGGAGTCATATGTTGCAGCGTGATACCCGGTATAACCACAACAAATTAAAGCCAGGAACTTTGTGTGAATCGTTATATTCATTTAATTACCATTTATTAACGTAATTACATATTTTTTATGGATAGTAGGTATATACACATACTTATGTAATTTATTTCTATGGGGATGTATTAATCTATTAACATTCAATATATACAGGGTGTCACAAAAAAATGTTACCATATTTTGATCATTTATAAACTGTTTCTTAAATATACAATTTGCTTTCAATGAACTATATTAAGGTATCTTTTTTTAATTCAACGTTTTACTAGCTAATACAATGTGGTAACATTTTTCTGCGACGCCCTGTATTAACGCTTTGCACTCGGAAGTTTTTTACTAGAAATATTTAAACATTTTCTGATGAAATGAAGATGATATTTTGTAAGACTAACTGGAAGAGAAATTATACCAGCTATTATTTCAATAGTTTTTGAATTAATTATATACTAAATTAAATTAAATTATATTAAGCTATTAATTATATTGTAATATTTTTTAAATTAAATATATATTAAATTATACTATGCTATTTTATTTCAATATTGTTTAAATTAAATATATATTAAATTATACTAAGCTATTTTATTTCAATATTTTTTAAATTGACGAGTTATACAAGGTATAATATTAAATATCAAATTTTAGAATTTTACTGTATGAAATCAGCTTTTATAATATCTCATAATATTAAGCGTCGTATAATGCATCTATACGTAAAATATTTGTATAAATCATTGACTTTCAAAGAGCGTCGTCTATATCTTCTTAGAAAACTTTAAATATTTCTACTGGAAAATTTCCAACTGCAAAGGGTTAACACGTTGAATGCCGTGTGGGTCACCGGTGACCCAACCAAATCGGATTACTATAATTCACTCAATTAAACGATGATCATTTAAAGACTATTCCATATTAGAAATAATGCAACCTAAAATGACGACGTTTAGCAAAACATCTATGCAACAATAACGCAATTCAAATACTTTAATATTATAATTTTTCCTATTTCGTGTAGATTGCTCCGCAAAATCGTTCGGCATTCAACGTGTTAACCTTTTGCACTTGAGAGGTGACTCTTACTCACCATTTGATTGGACGCAGCAAAATTGTAAAATGAAAAATTTAATATAAAATGTTGAATAAGGTATCAACACATGAAACGCAGAAATAAAACAACTCTGCCCTATAATTTATATAAGATGTTTCTTTACGTAAGTTGCAAATAATATTGCTAATAGTTCGCCAGAAAATAATAAATGTTTCTAATAAAAAATGTTGTCGAATGCAAGGGGTTAACCCTTTGCACTCGAAAGATTTTCACTGGAAATATTCAACATTTTTCGACGAGATATAGACGACATTGTTGAAACTAATTTAATGATAATTCACAGATAAATTAAGCAACAAAGCTATTTTATTTAAATATTTCACACAGCATTAGAAAGTTTCATTTAAAATACTAAATATTCAACTTCATAGTTTCGCTGTATCAAATCAAGTGATGACTGAGAGTCACCTCTCGAGTGCAAAGTGTTAATAATATAGGCATCGTCATTGAAGCGAAACTGCATTCGAATAATCCCGATTCAATTTACAGATAACGATTGCCAGTCGATTTGCGAATTACGAAAGAGTTCATTCACGGCGGCGATCTCACGCGATGCCACGATCAAGCTCGCCGCTTTCGACCGTGTTCTACGCGCCGCCGGAAGAACAAGGAAAGGAAGACTCAGGAGTAGGAGCCGCGGCGCGTATCCAGCCACTTTCATTGTTATTCGATCTGCCTTACTCCGAAGGTGCAACCTAAGGACCCTCTTCTGTTCTCGGCTCCCGGAGAAACGACGGGATCCTTCTTAAATTTGTTGTGGCCGATGAATCGCGCGACCGAGTCCACCGGTGAGTATCCAAATATCAATTAACGTTCTCCCTCGCTTTCACGACTCGCCACTGTACACGCTCTTGATTAATAACTCGGAACGCTTTCCTTTTTCTCAACAGCTTTTGCATCCAGTTCAACGGAGTCTTCTTATTCCTCTACGCTTTTTATGCCTGCTGTTACAATTATTCTTTCTATTATCTTGTACAAGAGTTCTTTGCTGCGAGGTAAGCTCGTGGATGTTAACGCGTTAAGCGCCGTGTCAGTCACTGGTGACGCTTCTGAATGATTAGAACATCGTAACATGCAAGACAACTGATGTGAAATGAAAATGTTTGATAACGTAACTAAGTTGGTAATAGTGTAATGTGAACATTGTAATGTTGTATTATTAATAATTGTTCCTGCTTTTTTTTGCTACAAAAGAGAAACTCTGCGGAAAGCGCTTAAGATTTTCGTGGCGCTTAATGTGTTAACATGTTCGCTACCAACGTCGCATATCTGTGACGGTAATACTATATTTTACATAATGAAAATGAAATTAGTCCTATAGATATTGTTATTAGAAATTATAAACTACATTATATTTGGGAACTCAATGATGCGTTTCAGTTTCCTTTTCTAATATTTTGTTTAGATTTATTGGATTGAAGAAAATATAATTGAGGAGACCGAAATAAGCGCTGGTAGCGAACGTGTTAAAGACGTTGTATAATGTAGAACACTTTGGAATCAGGGCAGAGAGTGAAAAATTGTTACAATGAAAGTTTGCTTGGTATATAAAAAGACACCTTTGTAAAAAGACATTGATAACAATTGTTAGCTCACTGGTTAGGGTTTCGTCTAATAATCTAGAGGCCTTTGGATTTAAATAATTAACTACTTCATCTAATTAATCTTTGCACTCGAGAGGTGACTCTCAATCACCACTTGATTCAATGCAGTAAAACTATGAAGTTGAATATTCAGTATTTTAAATGAAACTTTGTATTGCTATGTGAAGTATTGAAATAAAATAGCTTCGTCGTTTAATTTATCTATGAATTATAGTTAAACTAGTTTCAAACAATGTCGTCTATACCTCTTCAGAAACTGTTGAATATTCCAATGAAAAACTCTCGAGTGCAAAGGGTTCACTTATTTGACTGTCTTTCTGAACAACTGTAGTTGTTCTTTCCATGTGATTAATCGCACGTCTTCGTTAATTCTAGCTGTATCGTTTCCCTAAGAAAAAAAGGGAGGGACCCTACGGTGATTCGAACAGCGGAAAATCCAAGACACGTAGGGAAGGTTTTCCCGGGATAAAATTACAAAATCCAGGCACACCGTGCGCGCTGGTTAACGAACCGCGAAAATCGTTTGCGAACGAAATATGGACAACAACACGCCGAGCTCCGTTCGCTGTATTAGCATACAGAAATAAGTGGAACGCTGGCCTTATTCGGCGAGATTCATTTGTACCTCGGAAACAATGACGAGATCTCGTATCTGGAATCGTAAAAAGTATTGCGTTGCGTTCTTGCCTCCTCCGGCGTGCTCCCCAAGCACTTACACACACGCGCAGCCGTGTTGTGTTTCAATATTGGCCGATTAGGAAATTGGGAAACCGAGTTGCATCTCTGGGAAATTTGTTCATTGTTTTCCACGAGGTCGGTGAACACTTTGAACAGAGGAAGCCGCAATTTGAATTAGGAGACCGCGTTTAGCTTGTTTAGAAACAAAGAAGTTCATTTACAGTTTAATTTCTTTGATAAGGAGAAGCCTCGACGATTTAGTAAATGGGACAAAGTATGAATGAGCATCTCTGAGTTTTTCCTACCGAATAATAGGATAATTAGAAACTTTTCACGGAGGCGATTAGATAATACCTTGGAAAAACAGTGGTATTATATTGTAAAGAAGTCTCACGATCGACGCTGTTAGATACATGAATTTTTTCTGTTAAAATCGGCTTCGTAGAATCAGTGTGAATGATCGGTCATAGGAAGAGCACGGAATTAATAGCAACAGTCGAGTAGCAGGACAATAGGGGCAACTCGCGCTGAACAAGCCGGTCGAATTATGCTTCCTGGTTTCACCCGATTGTCGTTGAAACAGAGACGGAAGGAAGACACATTCATGCTCTGTTTCAGCGGCTCGAATTCACTGAGTTTCTACAGGATATGCTTGTGGAGATATTTTAATGACACCGACTGCGTAGATGCATCTTCTTTGTTCCCAGCGTATCTAGTATCCGTGATCTAATCGCATTTACCATAGACACCATTAAACGGATGACTAAATGGATTAACACGTTGAATGCACGATTTCATAGAGTAAAATACACAAAATGGGAAAAATGGAATATTAAATCATTTAATCTAATTGCATTATCACCTAGCTAAATATCACTGCATTAGGTAATATTATTTATAATATAGAAATGTTTTCAAATAATCAACGTTTAATTAAATGAACTATAGTAATTCGATTTGGTTGTCATCGGTGACCCCATAGCATTCAACGTGTTAATTAATCTGAACCAGCGTTATTGAAAAAAAGTTTAATATAGAATGGTTTGTCGTTAGCTTGAAATGGAAACTATTAACCAAGGATGATGAATTTTATTCATCATAATCTGTCGTTATTGGTTTAAATTAACGTTTATGATTTTCACAGGTGATGTTGGAATTCAAGTTATCCACGACGTTGTTGCTGGTGGTTTCGTCGATCAGCTTCATTCGCGCGAACATTGCTAACTGGGAAGCCTGCGGTGGAAGGTTGGAACGCGCCTTGGATGCACTCCACAGAGATTCTAGCAGAAGGAACAGACTGGAAAACGAGGAATCTGGCGCCTCTTATCAGCAAGAACTTCGTTCTGCACCACTTGAGATGTCAGTCTCCCGGATTGCTGTTAAAGTAATATTTATTGCACAAATCACATTGGAGTTTGATAGACTGGGGACCATTTAGAAAGCGTATCGCTGGTTATACATATAAGCGCTTAGCACTTGATTCGAGGAATTTTAACAAATATAGGAAATTTAACAAATACAAATATCATTTAACCCTTTGCACTCAGAAGTTCTTCACTAAAGATATTTGAACATTTTATGATGAGACAAAGACGATATTTTGTGAAACTAACTCGAAGAGAAATTATACGAGCTATTATTTCAATAGTTTTTGAATTAAATATATATTAAATTAAATTATATTATATTAAGCTGTTTTATTTCAATATTTTTTAAATTAAATTATATTATATTAAGCTATTTTATTTCAATATTTCTCAAATTGGTGCATTATACAGAGTATAATATTAAACATCAAATTTTATAGTTTTACTGTATGAAATCAAATGGTGAGGGAGAGTCACCACCCCAGTGCAAAGGGTTAATTTTCCCAAGTCTGAATTAAATATTATTTTTCTACTATTAATTATAATACTTCTAAGTAAACGTAGATGTAGAATAAGTGTAGAATTTTCTTTCTTCTATAATGAACTATGAACAATGAAATATATTTGCGGAGTACAAATGGAAAAGGAATCATGCAAGGGGTTAATCCATTATACAAATTATGATTAAAAAGAAGACTACTGTTCTAACTATCTCAATGATTTTCAGTTGCCGCAAGGTGCTAGAGATGTCGAATCTCCTTGGGCCAGAGTGGAAAAATGTGTTTATGAACCTAACAACAATTCTCTCCAAACTCGTGTGATGTTCAATGACCTCTCAGTCTCTGGTTTGGTATCGTTGGTGCCCAGAGATCATCAACCACCGATCCCAGCTGAATCCTGTAGGATGAGTCTGCGATTAAGGCGCGCAGGAATTGATTTTCTAACCAGCCCAATCGCTAGAGGCAGAGGACAAATGAGAATTCGTACCGAGTCCAGTTTCCTGGAGCCGAGATTTGCTTCTATTTATGCTTACGGTTGTCACACTAGGCGTTTAGACAAACAGATTAAGAGACAAGACAAATGGCCACCATTTTATCATCCCCCTCGGGATGAAATAAATACGGTAAACTTTAGATATTTTAACACGTTGAATGCCATGGGGATCACCGGTGACAACCAAATCAAATTACTATAGTTGATTCAATTAAACAATGATTATTTGAAAACAGTTCTATATTAAAAATAATGCTACCTAATGCAGCGCCATTCAGCTAGATCAACGTGCAATAATAATAATGCAATTCAAACAAATGATTTAATATTATATGTTTTCCATTTTGTGTATTTTATTCCATGAAATCGTGCATTCAACGTGTTAATCATTGTGTTCACATTGAAATGGTTTATACAATGTCGTTGAAGCATTATATAGATTCTATGTAGTCCATTCTATTATTGAACATTTCTTTGTCTCTTCTGTCACAGTATACTACGGTACCTTTAATACAAAATGACGACTACGATGCAGCGGAACCTCGACAACTAATAGGCGTTTCGAAAGAAGTAGATGTTGTCATACCGAACGAGACTCGTCATTCTCGTTTCCTGAGTTCACCGGTTTCAAAATTGGGCATCTGGCGAAAGAACGTTTGGCTGACCAAGTCACCGCCACGGGACAGGAGATCCATTCCCGAATCTAATGTCCTCGAAGGCACTTCGAGCGTTCGTCGCTTTCCAGGAACTTTCGAAATTGGCCAGGAAGCTGGTGATCAAAACAGCAGGATCTCTAGATCCATGGAGACGATCACTCCAAAGGATTTCGCAACAGCGCTGTCCGACAAGAGATTAAGAACAAACGAAACTAACAATTGTACTGACCATCAAAACAGCTTAGAGAATAAAACGGAAAGTTTCTTGGGAACCTTGGATGACAATCAACCAAAGAACAATTTCAAAAGAGAAAATAATTATCAAAATAGTGAAGACCCCAAAGAGACCAGACAGATATATCCCGATGAAAATCTGGACAGTATATTTTCACTCGACTTAGACAATGATAGTAGAGGATGGCAGTCCAAAGAACATGTAGCTAGAGAAATGGAGGATGTGTTTCTCAGAGGTGCTAGCCAGGCTTTGACTAGGTTTATTGAGCGACAACTGCATCCAGCTATCAAAGAAACTTTAATGATTTCAATGGGGTATACCATTAGCTATGGATAACATACCCTATGCTGTTTCCATTGTTAGTAACTCTTAGAAAAATTTGTAGTCAAGCACAAGTTAGGGACATTGTGAAAATTCGAGTGAAATCGGAATCACGGATTTTATATTTGTCTAGTCTTGAGAACAATAAAATTCGTTGAATTAAACTCTGTTTAAAAAAATCCGGGTGACAGATCATGGAACTGACGTACGGTCTTATTTATTTATATTATGTACATACATCTCTATTTTGTTCAATAAGATCTTCTCATAAATTTCTTTTACTTAAGAATGTAAATTTCCTTCTTGCAAAATGAGTGATTATATGCCTTTTGAGCGAAGGAACTATGTTAAGAAATATTCATTATAAATGATTTGTCATCCTGTTGTAGTATTTGTACATTAAATCTATCTGTAGTCTGTATTGTCGCATATAAAATTTTCCGTACAATGCACAATTTACTTCTTTAATCTACACACTGTTAAATTGAATAATTCATTGTTTAGACCTCATTTGTTCAAGCAACGAATACACTACAATTTTGAAAATGTATATATAGTAAATAAAGAGATTAAATTAACAAATTATACCGTCTATCTCTATTTATGTACTCATTATCTATATTCTTTTATTTACACTAAAATTAATTTGAAAAATACATAAGTAAATACTTTACACCCTAATATGCAAAAAAGGATCAAAAGTATATGTAAGAATTATATTACATAATCCCATTATACTGATTGCAAAAGGTTTACAGTTAACATATACAAAAGCTGTACTGATAACAAGTGCATTGCGATGCATACAACTTCACGTATACGTTATGCTGGCTGCGAGCAGTCAGGGGCTAGTAGTCACGTATACGTGACAGCGGCCATAAACGTTTTCCCTATACCATAATGCGTAAGACAAGGACAGAGCGACTGTGCGACAAGGATAGAAGATTTTTCCAAGGCTACAATGTCGCCATCTAGCGCCGACGCGTTTTCGAAGCTTTTCCCTATACCTACAATGCGTAAGACAAGGACAGTAATAGTGTCCAACAAGGAAAGAGATATATATCCCTGTGCCACCTACTTAGGAAAAGCATCTCATCAGTTCCTGGTACCTACGCGCGAAGCATGATGACAAAGAAGGTATCCGACAAGGATGGATATACGAATTGGCGGGAGAGAGACAAGGACGCACGATGGCGTCCGCACAGAACTACGCAATCGATGCAAAATTCATTAATAACTCGACTCCCACGAATGACTCGTTAACATTTGCGATTGAGAATCGTGGAGTGAATCTTCCCGTGGTTTCTTACATCAATTTCAATGGGATTTTGTTTTGCGTTAATTATTTATTAATTATTTTTCGAGACGATGCCCCAAGACGGTGTAGAAACTTTCGACGGATGCTGAGTAGATAATTAACTTTTTTAGTGAATAGAGATGATTGGTGAACTTTTAGAATTAAAGAAATCAGAGTGGATTTCTAACAATTTTTCAGTATCGGTTTCGGTCACGTTTGGGTCGCGGTTAATGAGTGATTAGCGATTCTCGGATGGTTCGTTGCGTCTATGAGGGATGCAATGAGTCAGACAAGGAAAGATATACGGGTGCGAGAAGGACGGAGACAGGTGCTCGGTGGCGCCACCTGGTGGAGGCACTGTTGTACTATTATGGCTAGAAGTTTGAGAATTTCCTCGACAGGTAGCACCACTAAGCATCTATCTCTGTCCTTCTTGCACACATACGTCTTTCTTTGTCTCACTTATCGCGTTTCTTAGAGACACAACGAACCCATCCGAGAATCGCTAATCACTCATTAACCACGACCCAAACGTGACCGAAACCGATACTGAAAAATTGCTAGGAGTCCACTCTGATTTCCCTGATTCTAAAAGTTCACCAATCATTTCTATTTACTAAGAAAGTTAACATCTACTCGGCGTCCGTCGAAAGTTTCTACACCGTGTTGAGACACCGTTTCGAAAAATAATTAATAAATAATTAACGGGAAACAAAATCCCATTGAAATTCATGTAAGAAACCGCGGGAAGATTCATTCCACGATCGTCAATCGCAAATGTTAACGAGTCATTCGTGAGAGTCGAGTAATTAATGAATTCTGCATCGATTGCGCGTTCTGCGCGAACGCCATCGTGCGTCCTTGTCTCTTTCCCGCCAAATCATATGTCTACCCTTGTCGGATACCTTCTTTGCCATCATGCTTCACGAGTACATACCAGGGACTGATGAGATGCTTTTCCCAAGTAGGTGGCACGGGGATCGCTATCTCTGTCCTTGTCGCACACTATCTCCGTCCTTGTCTTACACGTTGCGGGTATAGGGAAAAAGCTTCGAAAACGTCCCACCGCTAGATGGCGCCGCTATCGACCGCAACGAAAATCTGTGGGTAACTACAATCGTTTGTGCAAACAGAGCCAGAGCAGACCACTACAGTCTCGCTGCATCATTAGCCAGAGTAAAAATCCAAGATAATTCAAACTGAAACTGTGGCAACCCCACACAGGACATAAACCACATTCTATGGAGCTGCCTCAAACACAACATCCTCAGAGAAAAATTAATATAAAAACTGCAACAGGAAGGATGGACTCCGCCTACACAAATAGACTCAATTCTTGAAAAACCAAATCTCACACAATTAAAAATAATAGATAAATTGTGGAAGGAAACCAACATCAAGATATAACAAACAGAAAATAAAACCAAACTCCTCAAATAATGGCTGACAACTAAGAGAAACAAAATAAAAATAAAAATAGTATAAGCTAGTAATAAGATATTGTAACCATTACACTGGGCAATAGACCATGAACGGTTCTAAGCCTCTTTTCAATAAAAAAAAAATCTGTGCACAGTGAAAAAAAAATCTATGGGTAGTTTAGTTAAGGCTAATATTAAAACTCTTACTAGTAGATTGGGATAAGAAATAAGTACAAATATGCGGTGCAATTCAAAAATTGCAATTCGTCGTAGACTCTTAGTTTTAGTGTAATATGACCATGTAACTTAATCTTTTATAAACCGTCCACTGTATAAATGGGCATAGTATGTAATTAGTTAGAGTAACCAATAAAAAAAAATTCTCTGTCAAACCTGGAAAAAAACAACCATATACTCCCTGACAAAAAGGAAACTAGATGTATTGTTATCCAACCAACTAGTTGGCTAACTAATAATTAGTAACTTACACTATCTACTATTTACTAACACTAACTCACTAACACCACTAACGCAAACTAACCCAACAATAATACATCCATGTGTAAACAGAATTATGTATTACGTACAAGAGAATTAAGTACAAAAAAGGCGATCACACCTTTTCTCCATTTCCCTGCAAGTCTGATCTTGAATGACCTTGAGTCATAGGTCGTTGTCATTTATTCGTCTTAAAACGCACTATTTGATGGTGACGGAACGGAAATTGACCTTGGAGTGTCCACCAGGAAAAATAAAAGTTCCATTACATGATGTCCCCTTCGGTATTGAACAACTTTTGTCTGAAACATTTTTGCGTATAATCGATATTTTCGGAGATATTCGACTGTAACGCTTTATAATTTCCACCCTGAATACTCAGGCTAATAGACTCGCTAAGGTTTAAGGCCTTTATCGATGAAAAAAAATTCTCTGTTCTTGTCGCATACTGGCTCCGTCCTTGTCTTACTCGTTACAGGGATAGGGAGATCGGCCGATTTTACCCCTTAGAAATCACCACCGTGCTGACGATCGGTGTCACGAGAGCGTGACACGGCAAATGTCCGCTGCCTTCGATTACGAATAATTTGTAGACACTTTGAAAAATCATCGTCATATCCTGATTTCTCTTATGACAGATACGTTTAACCCTTAGCACTCCAGGTGTTTTTGTAATCTACCAACAACTCCAAGCCGTTTTTATAGTATCTCTAGCACAAATGAAAAATGTCATACTATAACATCTCTTAGGTTTCTTTATTTTCCTTCTTAATACAAAATTTGGATGTATAGAAGATCCAGTAATCTTAGGGTAGTTCTTCTAAATTTATTCATTAAAATAATTATTCAAAACCCTTTGAACTCCGTAGGCTCCAATATTGCAGTAGTTATAATATTAAATATTTTAATGAATCTTAAAGAAACTACCCTAAAATTATTCGATTTTCCACACATCCAAATTTTCTACTAACATGGAAAATAAAAGATCGAAGAAATGTTATAGCATTTCTAGTTTTCGTTAGGAATACTACAAAAATCATACTGAAATTTATCCGGCGTGCAATGTGTTAACATTGAAATGATTAGACGTACGTATTCCCGAATTTTCCGCGCAATATTACGTCACGTCCCGAACAAAAGGCTTCCACCCCCCTGCAGCCGATAATTGACAGGGAACGATCTACCGAGAAGGATCGCGGGGTAAAGTGCTCTCGGAAATAAAACGCGCATGCCAAACAATTCCACTTGACAACCGCTGATCCACGAAACGTCAGCGTGCTATCAGCGGTGACAGCCGGCGAAAGAGGGTGGTAGCTGGATGGAGGTTATCGAACTCCCTTCCTCTTTCCTTTTCGCTTCCTCTTTTATTTCCAAACGTCCCGGCGAACCTCCGCGCGACGAAGAGGGAACGCGATAGATACCGGGAGCCTTTGTTCCGACACAGGTAAGTAGTTTTTTTTTTCGACAGGGAAATACTCTGTCGCTCGAGGCGTCGAAAAAACCGAGCCCTTTGAGGATCGAGCGATTCGTTGGGCCACTCGTTAAAAACTAAATCTCGCTTTTAGTCTTTCCACGCCGACTAACTCGGAGCAGTGTATTGAACTCTCTATTCGTGAAACGAGAAATTAACCTCTCCGCTTACGATATCGTGCGAGACACGCGATGAAGATTTTAAATAGAATTTAGCAGAAATAAATATTACTCGAGTCTTGTGAATGTAAATGAAATGTGTTTCCGTTATTAATCCCCTTCTCAATACAAACATTGTATATTTGGAAGATCTAATAATCTTAAGGTAGTTTTCTTAAAATTCATTAAAATATTTAACATTAGAACTGGTGCTTTATTGGAGTCTACAGAGTTCAAAGGGTTAATGAAAGATCAAAGCGAAGCAAAGAAGAATTACACGTTTACGTGAAAAAATGAAGAATTCATCGCTGAAAGAATTAGTATCGTGTCGAGCTTTACGATGACGTGTATATTCGTCGAACACAGTTAACTGGTTAATGACAAAATGATTGTATTGATCACAGTTGAGAGATAAATCGTAAGGCAAGGGGTTGACACTTGCGCGAAGGTAGATTTAACACGTTGACTGCCACGAAATCCTTCAGAGTTTTATGTATCGCTTATTCTTTCGTAGCGAAGATAAAGAGGAACAGTCATTTATCATTTAGTATCGCAATGCGTACGTTACACTGTTGCCTAGTAATTTATGCTATGAAATAATTCCATTCGACATTAGTTGTCCGACGAATTACAATTATTGTCAAGTTATTTGGAAGCTCCGGTCATCGGTGACCGATGTGGCAGTCAACGTGTTAACCCTTTGCATTCAGAAGTTTTTTTCTAGAAATATTTCAACATTTTCTGATAAGATAAAATCGATATTTTGTGAAGCTAAGTCGACGAGAAATCACGTTATTGAGGAACAAAGCTGTTTTATTTGAATATTTCTCAAAATTATGTATTATAGGAAATATTATGTTAAATATCAAATTGTATAGTTTTACTGTATGAAATCAAGTGGTGAGTGAGAGTCACCTCTCGAGTGCAAGGCGTTAACAATGCTAGATTCATCAGTTTCATTAATTTACGTCTTACGATTTCTTTCTCAACAACGATCGGTAAGCTTACTTTGTTATGATTTACTGAAGAAAGAGACAAATAGGCGTCTATGTCTATATTTCCTTTGAACTATAATAATTGATGACGCACGAATAACATTCAATTTGTGCTCAGAATAATTGAGTAATATTTATGCTTGTCAAGTTCTTTTTAAAATCTTGACTTTATATATAATAGTTCGTATATATATATATATATATAATAGTCTTTATGTATAATAGTTCTTATATATAATAGTTTTTATATATAAAAAGTTCTTTTAAAATCGTTGATTATATATAATAACTGGCAATTATACGTATTCTCCGAATTAATCGCATTTACCGTAACATATAGATTACTCGGTTCATTCGAATGCAAAGTAGATATTATTCCTCTGTAACCAACTGATATACTTAACACATTGCCATTTTGTTCATTTCAACTTATATCAGTTACATTCAATTCATTCGTTTATTTATTTAACATATTTCCGAGAGTTTCCATTACAAATAGAAATACTTTCAATCATACAAAGGGAATCAACTATCTACTTTTGTCAAAACTATTAACGAAGTTGCACAAGTAACAATGTTTACAATATGTTAAAAGGAAATATAGGCATAACGTATGCTTAGAATTTTCCTCTTTTTCCAATAGATCATTAACACGTTGAATGCCATGGGGGTCACCGGTGACTCCCAACTAAATCGAATTACTATGATTCACTCAATTAACACATTAAGCATGTCAGTCACTGGTGACTGACGCTTCTCAACGACTAACAAACAATCGTAACATAAAGACAATCAATGTGAAATAAAAATGTTTAACAACGCAACTAAGTTGACAATAGTGTAACGCAAACGTTGCAACGCCAAATAATTCATAACTATTAATTAATTATAATAATGACAAACTCTATGGGAAAACGCTTAAGATTTCCGTGGCAACGTGTTAAACGGTGACTATTCGAATACATTTCTATATTATTAATAATATTACCTAGTGCAGCGACATTCAGCAACGTAAACCGTGCAACAACAGTAACACAATTCAGTTCAATAATTCAATATTATATCTTTCTCGCATTTCGCGTATTTTCCTCGATGAAGTCGCGCGGCATTCAACGTATTAATGACAAAGTGCCGTGTATCGGTCAGAGTTGAGAAAGAAATCAATGCACCGAACAAGCTTCTTTTACGATCAGCGCGTCGTCCCTCGGTTCTACTTGAAAACGGAACTCTTTACAAGCGGAGAGTTCAGAAAGTTTTAATCAAATGCTGGCCATCCGCCGCCTTCATCCTCGGCGAGACGCGTGTCGCAAGCTGCCGTTCTCCTCTTTCGTTTTGTTCTTTCAAAGCGTCGCAGGTGAACGACCGACAGGTGAAAAGCTGGGCTTGAATGAAGCGCGGGATGAATCGGGGGAAAATGACCGATGCGCAAAGGTGCTCCTCGAAGTCGAGACGGGCCGACCGCCGGAAGCGGAAGTGGACCGCCAAGCAACCCGCGGAGTCCTTCAGGTATTACGTCTTGCGGTGATCGATCTGTTGTCTCTGAAAACGAAACGATACGATCAGGATACTCTTCTGGTTACGTTTTAACCCTTTGCGGACGGATGGTATTTCGGTGAGATGAAATGTTCAGACTTGGAAGACTGAGTCGTGGAAGAATGATCTAATTAGTCGAACAATAAGTGATCAGCGCGTAGTTTTCTTTCTTTCTATTAATTAACCCTCTGTAGGCTCATGTAACTTTGAAGTCCCATATCAGTATATTGGCATCTTGTTGATTTATTTCATTCTGCACACAAAGTGGTGAGTAAAATTAAGTAATCAGTTAACTTAAACTTTTATACGCTCAGGCGTGAAAGTTTGACGTCATTGTAACTTGAAAGTTACAAAATATATTCGTTTGATGAAATTATTGAAACTATTGAATACATTGTTAATTCGTATTCATATGTGGATATTAATTTTGTGCTGCATAGATTTTGTTATAATAATGAACAAAAATTCGGCACATAAAGGGTTAAGCAATTGATGTATGATTTAGCTTCATGTATTGAAGGTTTTGTATGTTTCGAAGAATCTTCGTCCGCAAAGGGTTAAGGAGTCACGTGAAAGGTCTATATTTATTTATTATTTTTATACTCGTATTTATAATATATTTATATTAACTAAATTAATCTGAACGGCTTCACTGTGCCTAAAGAAAGATTATTATTATTATTTTCATTATTATCCGTTTGAGTACTAGAGTTAATCTATGTTAATACTATTATCTATATACAGGGTGGAAATTATAAAGCGTTACAGTCGAATATCTCCGAAAATATTGATTATACGCAAAAATGTTTCAGACGAAAGTTGTTCAATACCGAAGGGGACATCATGTAATGGAACTTTTATTTTTCCTGGTGGACACTCCAAGGTGAGGTGAAGGTCAACTTCCTTTTTTAAATGGAACCACACGTTTTGTTATCCACTGTCGAATAGTGCGTTTCAAGACGAATTCAACGACCTATGACTCAAGGTCATTCAAAGTCAAACTTGCAGGGAAATGGAGAAAAGGTGTGATTGTTTTATTTGTACTTTAGTTCGTGCCTTCGAACAGTCACAGCGAAACGTGACATGCGTCAATGTCAGCGTTACTCGGGACAACATCAAAGTCATTACCAGTGAAATGAAAGCAAACGTATTTACTATTAGGTCGTTGAATTCGTCTTGAAACACACTATTTGATGACGGATAAAAAAACGTGTCATTGTATTTAAAAAGAAAGGAGTTGACCTTCACCTCACCTTGGAGTGTCCACCAGGAAAAATAAAAGTTCCACCGCGCGATGTCCCCCTCGGTATCGAACAACTTTCGTCTGAAACATTTTTGCGTATAATCGATATTTTCGGAGATATTCGACTGTAACGCTTTATAATTTCCACCCTGTATATTAATTTATAATAGGTAACAACGAAATAAAAAATGTATTACTCGGATTACTTATATGCAAAAAAAGTAGCGGTACGATGTGCATGCGTCTGAAAAATTGTGAGCGTTTCGTCGCATTGTGAGTGCGCCGTTCGTTCAAATGCGCTGGCTTTTCTCGACGTGAAATAAAAGGAGCGCCATCGCGCCGCTTGGATCTTTTCGCATTCCATTCGGAAAGCGCTATTGCGCTGTTCGACTTTCTTTGACCATGTTTTTTTTTAAAAACCTCTGGTACTCAAACGGTTAATCCTTTGCACTCCGGAGGCGCCTCTCAGTCGCCAATAATTGATTTGACACAGCTAAATTGTAAAGTTCGAGGTTTAATATTCAACTTTGTACAATGCATTAATATGAAATATTGAAAGAAAATAGTTTCCTTCTTCAATGTATGCGCGATTTCCTGTCAAATCAATTTTCGAAAATGTCATCTGCAGCTCATTAGGAAATATTGAGTATTTCCAGTGAAAATTTGTGGAGTTCAAACCTGATTCGGCGCCGAATCAGGTGGCGAACAGTATTATCCCTTTGCACTCAAGGCGCCCCCTGAGTGCAAAGGGATAATGCTGTTAGTTTTCTAGTGATTCGACGCAGCTGGTTCGTCTGCATCGAATGTCCTTGTTACAGGACACAGCACTATTTCACGAAGGGCCACGAACACTTGGGAGAAGCGATCGACGTGAACAAGGAGCAGTCACCTTTCGTCCATCCACCATGTTCCCTAATGTTCTCTTATTTCCAATACTGGAAAGCCAGGAAACGGTCCGCGGACATGGAACGTAGGAAAGGGGTCACCGTGGATGCCGGGAGGAACAAGAACCTCTTGCGCAGTCTTCGCGTAAGTAACTCCAATGGAAGCCCACTTCCGGTTCCTCCGTCACCTGTGAAAAATTCAAGTTACTCGAATCTTCGTATCGCTATTGAATAACGATGATAACGATCGTTGTGAGACTGTCAACCGTCAGTCATTCGATGAAACGTAGGAAAATGATGAAACGTTCAATAGAAAATGTCGAATAAGGTATCGATACATGAAGAAATAAAACAATTCTCACAATTGATGCAAGATGTTCCTTTATATAAGTAAAATAAAATTGTTAACAATACTGTAGTTAACAATCAAATAAAATTAACAATACTATTGTTAACAATAATAAAATAATATTGTTGAAAGCAACATTTCGTGAGAAAGTAATGAATGTTTGTAATGAGAAAAATATTGTCGAGTGCAAAGGGTTGATTGTTAGGTCGACGTTGACTTGGAGAAGCTGGAGGCGAAGAAGCACAAAGACCTCGACGAGGCGATGGCCATCACCGACGTAGACCCGGAATTCTTCAAAACGTTCGACGACCGAGTGGTCAAGGAGAAGTTCTCCGTGCACGAGTACGTCAACGATCTCCGCGAGATCTTCAAGACTCGTCTGCTGGCTGGCCAAGAAACCGACGACTGCATTCGCATCGAACAGCAATTCGTCGAGGAGCAGAAGAGACTGGATAAGATAAAGGTGTCAGACTTGTTGTTTCATCATTATTTTCTTATATATATTTTCTCATTACGATCTCTGCGTATAACAGTCATTTTATTATTCATAATTCGTTAGGAAATAATGTTGAGTGTTAGATCATAATGCGAAAGGTTAAAGTGCGAATAAATAGAATTTGTTTCGAGATGAAAATTTTCTAATAGAACTTCAATCGAATGTTTCATTTGCCACAGTATTATTTCGAACGAAATTGATATCTGAATTGGCAATAGGGTAGTATCTAGAATTTTTAGCGTAGGTTAAGGTATTTTTAAGAAGAGTGAATATAAGAATGAATGTGAATGAAGGACAGGCTGTAAAATGGTCGAGGGAAAGTGGCCTGCACAACGTTGCTGACCCAAGATTGCAGGGCCAGCTTTCCAGGGGTGCATCCGAGTGTTTGTGATGAGTGCGAGTGAGAAGAATGCTTGTGGAGGAGAGACTGATTTTTGGGAGAGAATGTCTGTAAGAGAGTTGCGGAAGCAAGAGTCGTGTGTTGGCCTCCGTGGCATTGAGTTGTACTTTTTATGTGTTGTCCGTGTTGTTTCCATATTTTATTAAATATATATATTTATTCCTAGTTCTCGATTACTGAAGATCCACCTTTTCACTATCTATAATAATATATATATATATTAATTTATGTATTAATTATAATTTATATATTTTTATATTAATGTGATATATATAAACTATATATATATAAACTATATACGCCAGATGAATAAACAACTTGTCATTTTGTGTACGCCGGACATAGACTTCGAGAAAATGCGCCGGGTTGAACGTGTTAACACGTTGAATGCCATGGGGGTCACCGGTGACCAATCAAATCGAATTACTATAGTTCACTCAATTAAAAGATGATTATTCGAAAACATCTCTTTATTACAAATAATGCTAACCAATGTGGTGGCACTCAGCTAAACGAGCTTGCAGTGATAACAATGGAATTCAATCAAATAATTTAATATCATATATTTTCCATTTCGAGTATTTTTCTTTATAAAATCGTGCGGCACTTAACACATTGAACGCCGGCTAAATTTCAGCTACTAAAAACGCGAGCGTCGGTGATTATATTGATACATTTTTAAGCATCGATTAAACCAAAATTTCTAACTTATGGAAGAGAATAAGAGATTCGATTTTGTAAATTTTACTTTAGATTTGTGTTATACATACCTAGAATGTCACATGAACGTAGGATTAGCAATTAAACGATAGACTAAAAATCCCGCATTATCGCGGGGCCGGCGCTCAGTGTGTTAACGTGTCAATCTACGCTAACAATTCTAGATACTACGGTACGTTACAAAAGCCAACCTTGTCTTCATCGCAGCGAAATTTTCCCGACAGCGTCGTTATCGCAGATACGTGAGCGGCTTCGAGGATTTCCTGTCCAAGGATCACGAGGTTAGCATGGACATTCTGGTGCGGGCTGAAGAGGAGTCGAAATTGTCTCGGGAATTGACCAACACGAGGAACCAACTGTTTCGGGAGTTCGGCCAGGTCAGATTGGACGTGTACCAGTGGGAGGAGAACTGGAGGATGGTGAAGATGTGCCAGAGGTTCCTCTACCAAGTCTCGCCGATCTCCTGGCGCCAGGAACACGACTGGATCCATCGATCGAAATCCGGCGAGTGCACCGTCTCCGTCGACGATCTTTTCGGCCGCTATCGAATGGCCGACGAAGTAGCTTCGCTAACCTCGTTGATAGGTGATCCTCTTCTAGCCTCCATTCTGGCACCTGTGATTCAACCCTTTGCGGACGAACGTCGACATTTCGGCGAGATCGGACGTTCATGTTTGCAACATTAACCCCTTGGCCTATGATTTCTTTCTCATCTCTGATCGATACGGCTACTTTGTCATCAATAATTTATTGGAAAAAGAGAAAAACTCGAAGCATATGTCATGCCTATATTTCCTTTCAAGTACAATAGTTGATTACAGAGGAATAATATTTACTTTGAATTCGAATGAACTGAGTAATATATATATATATTTGTTGAATCATGTTGAAAATATTCACCACGAGTATCACTCGTTGTAGGGCAAGGGGTTAAGTCGCAAACAAACGATTTAAACCGTTGCCGTACAATGACGAGCGAGACTCGTGATGGAGATTTCCAAACTAATTTAACAAGAATCAATGTTGTTTATTACCCACGGATCAAAGCAAACAACTATTTTGCTATTATCGATGTATTATCTTCAAATGGAATTTCCACCTGAAGTAGAATGGAAAATTTTGTCATATTTCTTACAAATTGTCGATAGTAAAGTATTACACGAGCTTACTAACGAAAGTAAATGGTACGCCAAGGGGTTAACCAGTTAACCCTCTATGGGCCGAATTTCTGTTTGTGATTATATACTGACTAATATACTGACATGTGACTTCAAAGTTACATAGGCCTACAGAGGGTCAACTGTGTTTGACGAGTATACACGTCATCGTAAAGCTTGACACGATACTAATTCTTTCAGCGATGAATTCTTTATTTTTTCACGTAAACATGTAATTCTTCTTTGTTTCACTTTGATCTTTCATTAAAATATATTCTACGTGTATTCGTCCTGCGTTTGACGAGTACACGCTCCATTTTTCGATTTTATTGCGCGCGGAACCACAGGTTTTTCCAACTAAATTCCACAGTTAACTGGTTAAGGTATTAATAACTGCGAAACAAACAAATCGAAACCAGTCATTTTGACTGGTACGGTAGTTCTAGTGTTAAAGACTTCCGAAACCGAGGACACCGTATAATAGCATCGATAAAAATCAACTTGAACGTTCACCATATTCATAAAATCGAATTCCGCGAACACAGATCAGTTCGAGAACGACATCTCGACGGACGGACCAACCGAATTGTACTTCGAGGACCCGTTCGATTTGATCCGGGTGTTCCGAGCGATAGAGACGCAAAATCTGAACGCTCTGATCCACGTGGAGTCCCTAGCGGAGCCGATGACCCAGATGATGACGACGATCGAGACCGCTGAGGAGCAGATTAAGACGGAAGTCGAGGAGATTAGCAACGCTATCGCCGAGCTTCAGGTAACTTTGCCTGACCAGAAAGAGCTCGGACAGACGCAGCTGTTCTTCGACGATCGAATCGGATCAATTAACCATTTGCACTCGGAAGTATTTCTGATTTTTAAGCTTTTAAACTTTGAAACTTTGAAACTTTGAAACTTTGAAACTTTGAAACTGAAACTTTGGAACTTCGAAGCTTTGGAACTTTCTAATTTTTAAGCTTTTAAACTTTTAAACTTTGAAGCTTTGGAACTTTCTAATCTTTAAGCTTTGAAACTTGGAAGCTTTGGGAATTTCTAATTTTTAAGCTTTGAAACTTTGAAGCTTTGGGACTTTCTAATTTTTCAGCTTCGAAACTTTGAGACTTCCTAATTTTTAAGCTTCGAAACTTTGGAACTTTCTGATTTTTAAGCTTTGAATCTTTGAAACTGTGGAACTTTCTAATTTTTAAGTTTTGAAACTGTGGAACTTTCTAATTTTTAAGTTTTGAAACTTTGGGACTTCCTAATTTTTAAGCGTCGAAACGACCTAACCAAGACCTAACCAAGTATTTCGTTAGAAATATTTAATATTTTCTAACCAGACACAGACGATATTTTTTAAATTAACCCTCTACAGGCCCGGGTGACTTTGAAGTCACACATCAATATACTGGGTTAAATCGATTTCTTTAATTTTTTATTGAAAACTGACGAATGCCATGAAATAATTGATCAACTTAAACTTTCGTATACACAGGATTTTACGTTCAACGTCATTGTAACTTCAAAGCTACAAGACACATTCGTTTGAATGAAATTATTAAAACTATTGAATACACTGATAATTTCTGTTCATATCTTGATATTTATTAATGTCATACTGCATAAATTTTGTTACAATCACGAAATAAAATTCGGCCTACAGAGGGTTAACTCAAAGAAATATTGCAAGTGAATTGGGAAACAAAGCTTTTTATCCCAATATTTCACACACCGATGCATTATATACAGTTGAATATTGAATATCAAATTTTATAGTTTTACTACATGAAATCAAGTGGTGACTGAGAGTCACCTCTCGAGTGCAAAGGGTTAAATATCCAATTGGTTAACCCTTTGCACACGACAGTTTTTGCACAGGAAATATTCAACGTTTTCCGATCAGATATAACCGACATGGTTTGAAGCTAATTTAACGATAATTCACACATAAATTAAGCAACAAAGCTATTTTATTAATTTATTTTATTTAACTCTTAGCACTCCAGGTTGTTTTGTACTCTATCAGCAACTGCAACTAATATTTATAGTATTCCTAGCGAAAATTAGAAATGCTATAACATTTCTTCGATCTTTTATTTCCCTTTTCAGCACAAAATTTGTATGTGTAAAATCGAATAATTTTAGGGTAATTTCTTTAAGATTCATTAAAACATTTAATATTAGAACTGCTGCAATATTACAGCCTACAGAGTTCAAAGGGTTAAATATTTCACACAGCAATACAAAGTTTCATTTAAAATACTAAATATTTAATTTCATAATTTTGCTGTATAAAATCAAGTGGTGACTGAGAGTCACCTCTCGAGTGCGAAGGGTTAATTACGGAATAACCGGTGACATTAGATAGCTTCTGCGTAAAATTGCCGGTCAACAATGTGTTACACGATAAAAGCTCGACGGTCGATTAAGTAGGCCGACATCGAGCAATTAGAGGCGAGGGCCGCGGATTTGGAAAAGTACGCGGGCACGCTGCTCGAGGGAGCTTTCCGGGAGGCTGTGAGCTCCGAGGAGGTGCTCCGGTTCCAAGTGTTCATCGAGGACGCGTTCGAGAGCTGCATCGGGCCGAACGACGCGAATTTGGATAGTTTCTCCATGATGAAGTGGATCGAGAAGACCCACGAGGAGCTGAACCTCGAGCTAGACACGCTGCCGCCGGAAGTGGTCCAAGCTTGCGAGAAGGAGGGCTTCAGGCAGGAGCTGAAAGCTATCAGGGAGACCGAGGAAGCTGCTAGGAAGGTCAGACTCTGTGAAACTTTAATCTCCGTTACTGTTTTATCGCGATTTTCTAGCTGTTTAGCTCTAGACTGTAGAGCCATAGATGCCAGAGATCCTATAGTCTATAGTATTATTCTTCTATTACCAATCGCGATACTTCTGAATAAATGTGTAGATAGAATAAGCGTGGAATGTATCTGTTTTTCAAATTTTGAAACTTTGAAACTTCGGGACTCTCTGATTTTTAAGCTTCGAAACTTTGCGATTTTGGGGCTTTCTAATTTTTAAGTTTGGAAACTTTGGGACTTTGGAACTTTCTGATTTTTAAGCTTTTAAACTTTGAAAATTTGGGACTTTGAAGTTCTGAAGCTTTGTAACTTTCTAATTTTTAAGTTTTGAAACTTTGAAACTTTGGAACCTTCTAATTTTTAAGCTTCGAAACTTCGGGACTTCGAATCGTCTAAACTTTCAAATTTAGCTGTAGACTCTAGCATCCTAGCTGCCAGACATTCTAGAGTTTATAGTATCACTGACCGATTGAGCTTGATAAAGATAACTTAGCCCTACGATCCCTTCCCAATTCAACAGGGTCACTGTCCATAATTCATTACAAAACCAGAAACACAGACATTCAATGATTCTTCCAAACACGAATGTCGACGTTCGTCCGCGAACGGTGAAACCTTTCAGCCGATAACCTCCGCTTCCACGATTCGTCGAGGCAGCGATAAAGATTGGAGTCAAGCGACCGTTTCGATTGTACTTCTGTCGCAGTTCGAGCTTATGCATCGATTACTGGCTTCCCTGAAGCGTGTCATGGAGCCACCGGCGATAAAGAGGCGGCCCCTGGTCTGGCGTTCCGAGCCAGCGAGCCAAAGGGCCAAGCCAGCGCCGCCGCCCCCTGCGCCCACCGACGAGGAGTGGCAATATTTGACCTTCTTCACCGATTACTGTAGCCAGCAGGACTTCGCCGCGTATCGCTCGCGTTTCCCGGACGATTTCGACCTGAGCTTCCAGCCCCGGCGCCGGGAACACGCTCCGGAAGACATCGAGGACGCCGACAAGGATGCTGAGGACAGCTGATCCCTCAGCGACCCGGCTTGTTATTCGTAACAGAATCATCGACAAGGTTAGCATCTCTTTGTAATAAGTTCGATCAGATTGGGCGGTTTATAATCATTTGGTAATATAACAACAACAACAACAACAACAACAACAACAGTGTATAATCATAATGATCATAATCATAATTGGACGGTTTATAATAATTTGGTAATATAATCATAATAATAATAATAATAGTTTATAATAATAATAATAATAACAATAAGAATCTATAATAATAATAGTTTATAATAATAATAATAATAACAATAAGAGTCTATAATAATAATAGTTTATAATAATAATAATAACAACAATAAGAGTCTATAATAATAATAAGTTAGTTTATAATAGTTTATAATAATAATAATAATAATAATAATAATAGTTTATGATCATAATAATAATAATAGTTTTTGATCATAATAATAATAATAGTGTACAATCATAATAATAATAATAGTTTATAATAATAATAATAATAGTAATATTTTATAATCGTTTTTTTCAGTTAACCACTTGCGCTGGCAACGAATTGAGAAACTCGACAGGATCTCGAGCGAAGAACTGTGTCTTCGCCTATTATATACAGATATGTAAAGAAATGTTACTTACCAATAATTTTATACGAAGTGGTAGATTTCAGAACAATTTAGGAATAGGGAAATCTGATCCATTTGATAGTGTTAATGTTAAAAAGATAACGGATGCTTCTAAATTACTAGAGAAATTGATTCAGCAATACACAAGCTACCTCGCAAATTGATTAACCCTTTGAACTCTGTAGGCTCCGATATTGCATCACGTATTAGATATTTTAATGAATCTTAAAGAAACTACCACACAATCATTATATTTCAACACATACAAATTTTGCACTAAGAAAGAAAATATTCAATGCTTCGAAGATATCAATAATTCTTAAACAAGAAAATCGAAACCAGTCATTTCGACTGGTACGGTGGTTCTAGCGTTAACCCTTTGCACTCGAGCGGCGCCTTTCAATCGCCATTCGATTTGACCGAACAAAATGATCAAACTTAGAATTCACTATCAAATTTTATATAATGTATCGACACGTGGAACATCGAAATAAACTAGTTCTGTCACTTAATTTATACAAGGTATTTCTTTATGTTAGTTGTAAAACATATCATTGATATTTTATCAGAGAATAATGAATATTTGTTGAGAAAAATATTCTCGAGTGCAAAGGGTTAAAAACCTCTGGTACTCAAACGGATACACTTTCGGCTTGTCCCTTCGCATCCTCTCGCTTCGCGAGCGAGAAAGAAGCGTCGCTACGAGGAAGATCATCGCGAAGATTGGCACGTGTGCGCACGAGGAGTAGGAGGAAGGAAGACGCGATGGGTAAGAGAGGGGGAGGGAGGGTTCAGAAGAAAAGAGGAAGCAATTTCGCGAGTGGTCCGGCGAAAAACGCGGGACAGAAACGGGGTTGAAGTAGCAACAACGTCAGAAATGGCACCGGCAGGATGCACCGTCTTCTCTTCGCCCCATGGAAAATCAATACTCTGTGCACCGAGCGCTATGTTTACACGCTGAATAAGCAAATCCGAGTGTTCGCGTGCGTCCGCGGCCGGTAATTAATATCCGATTATCCCGCTCGTTAATTATCGTTCGCTTTTTCGCGGTACAAACGTGTTTGCCATTCGGTCCAGGGGACGGCTCGCTAATTTATTACACGTGCCGGCGGGTTTCTTGCCGGCCTAGTCGGCGGTTATCAAGTTTTCGGTGAATTTCGCCTGCACGATGTTGGAACGATAGGGGAACTCGCGAAGTAAAGTTGCGATTCGGTTTGTTTGGTTAACCGTTTGAGTGCTAAATAAATTTTGTGGGTATATACCAGAAATATGGAAGTAATTGGGAGTGTACAAAGAAACTTAATAAGATTTAATAGTTATCTAATTATATTAGAAATATTGTACTGTTGGAAAAGAAATATCAAAGAATAAACAAAGAAGAAACATAGTAAGAGAATTATAATTGATACTGACAAACAGAAGCGTCGTCGTGCTCTTAGCACTCAAACGGTTAATACGTTGACGTGAATGACGTCTATAGACGTCCATTGCGTGTGCTTGTAGATGCAAACGAGGTCCATAGTAGTCCTATACTTTTAGTATTATAAAACAATTAAAAAAATGTATATCACTGTTGAATTTATTACCCTCTGAATACTTTAGCCTTCTTTTCATAATTGTTGGAAAAAAACGAGCTTTATGTACAGAATGCTTTGAGCCTTATCATTTGCTTTATGCTACGAATATTTCTTAAAATTAAATTTTATAGCTCTAAATGAATTTTTGAATTTTTCATATGGCATTAGAAATTTTTCTTCTTGTATCTTTCAATTTTGTGTTACATTAAAAGAGAATGTAAATGAAAATCACGTGCAGAATAAAGTTATGTTTATAAAAATATACCTTTTTTATTTCTTCCTAAATTATTTTCAAAAAATGTCGTTAGATACCAAAACGTCTATATCCGTCTTTTGCGTGTCAGAGAAATCGAAGCTGAGAAAAACAAATGACGGCTACAGACGTCTACCTTTTTTTAGGAAAATTTATTAAAAAATACAATAATTTTAATTTGTAAGTATAAAATCTCGATCAAACTTCCCAAAAACCAACTAACTGACAAAAAAAAGAAGTGTGTTTTTGGAAGCGCTCACCGATTTCAAAATGATCGTCAACGTGTTAATTAACATAAACTCTTATACGCTCTCGCGTGAAATTTCAACGTCATTGTAATTTCGAAATGACAAGATATACTCGTTCTAATGAAATTATTAAAACTAACGAATATATTGTTAATTTGCATTTATAGGTTGATATTCGTTAATTTTATACTGCACACGTTTCTTTCTGGTCACGAAAAAAAATTCGGCCTACAGAGGGTTAACCCTTTGCACTCGAAAATTTTTCACTACAAATATTCAACACTCTGATAAAATATAGACGGTGCTTGTTGCGACTAATGTAAATAATTTAATCGATAAATTACTTTAATATTTCACATAGTGACGCGTTATACAGTGTTAAACATCAAACTTTATAATTTTACTACATCAAACCAAGTGGTGACTGAGAGTCACCTTCCGAGTGCAAAGGGTTAATAGAGAAAGTTAATAGGGGAAGCCTCAAAGACAGAATCCCCGTGCGAGACGTTGAAAAAATTGGAAAAAAGAGAGAATTGCTAAAGATACTACACGCTAGACCGATAAGGTAGAAATTTTATACGTAACATTTGCTACAAATAACTTTGTAGCTACTCCTATAAATAACTTTGTAACAAATAATTGAAAACACAATATTTACGCTTTATCCTACGTTTCCTATATCAAACTAAAAATATACCATAATTCTTCTTTGCCAGTACCGTTTACACAAGAAAACTGATTTCTCCATTGTTCCCGATGACCTTTGGTAGTTTCTTTTTATTTGATATCATCTTCGAAAGGGTGAAATCCGGTCATTTGACCGGTTCCCGGTACAATTCTTTCGGTCGGCGGTAAAAGAGCTAGAAACGCGAGCGGCGACTGGTCCCAGAAGAATGGCCGCCCGTTTCCGTGGAAATCGGCGACGGGGAGCCCGGATTTTGCGTACTTCGAGGAGGCCTTTCGAGATTATCCCCATGGCAACGAGGATTGCTCGATAGCAGACAGGCTAGGGCGCTCTTCAACGAGCCCAACCCTCCCCCTCGATCGCCCGGCTGTTTTCAACCAGCCGCCACACGCCGCGAACGGCTGCTTTCCCTCGTTGCCTCGCTTCCTTCTTTCTCCCGCGTTTCGCCCTTTCCCACCGTGTACACACGCACCACCCGCTATATTATTCACCGTTCGGCTGCCCGTGAACTCCGGAGAGGACCTTTTGTCTCGCGGGAACCACTCGTCCTCGGGTTTTCGACGTCCGCGGCTGAATCTTCGAGGAATTCGCCGCGTCTCATCTTCGACTTCGTGACTTTCGAGCGAACTCGCGATTTCTTTCGTAATTCTGTCCATACAGCTTTGTCATTAACCAGTTAACCGTGTTTGACGAGTACACACGTCATCGTAAAGCTTGACATGATACTAATTCTCTCAGCGATGAATTCTTTATTTCTTCACGTAAACATGTAATTCTTCTTTGTTTCGCTTTGATCTTTCATTAAAATATACTCTACGCGCATTCGTCCTGCGTTCGACGAGTACGCGCTCCATTTTTCGATTTTATTGCGCGCAGAACCAGAGGTTTTTCCAACCAGATTCCACAGTTAACTGGTTTACCCTTAGCACTCTGTAGGCTCCAATATTGCACCAGTTATAATATTAGATGTTTTAATGAATCTTCAAGAAACTACCCTAAAATTATTCGATCTTCTGCACATACAAATTTTGTGCTGAGAAGGAAAATAAAAGATCGAAGGAATGTTATAGCATTTCTCAATTTCGCTAGGAATACTATAAAAATTAGTTGCAGTTGCTGATAGATTACAAAACAACCTGGAGTGCTAAGGGTTAAATTTGTAGCTACCATGTCTTCGATGGAATATGTATCGTTACAATGATAATAACGCAATTCAATCAAATGATTTTACATTATATTTCTTTCCATTTTCTGTATTTTCGACTAAGAAATCATACGGCGTTCAACGTGTTAATTCGACGAGTTCTCGGGTCAGCGAACCTGACGTCGACTCGTCGTCCCCGCTGGCTACACATTCGGGTTAATTAGGTTCATTAAATTGGACGGCAGACAGCGAGGGCGAGAGCCACGGGCCTCTCAGCGTCTTCGTTCCCGTTTGATACTGGGGGAAGAACGTCTTCGACGGACAGCCTGGAAAATCGTAATTGCATCGGACCTCCTTGTTTCGTCGAGCCCTCCGCCGCCCTTCTAAATAATTTCGATATCGCCACGGCCGAGCGTCGCCTTGTCCCCTGGAGAATGGAAACAAGGCCTCTGTAGCATCTGGAAATTAACACTAAAACTACCGAGCACTTCAACTGACTTTTTAAAATTTCGCTATAGAAACTCCATGAGTGCATCTGTTCAGACTTTAATTGATTTACAATTCAATTTGCGTAGTGCTAAATGAATTTCTTTAATAATTTCTCAGAGAAACATTTGTTACCTTTCTAATAATTGCAAAGAGAAGACATCAGGCGTGGGTCATTTGACCTCTCTGGTAGTTTTAGTGTTAACCATTTGCACTCGATAGTTTTTCACTAGAAATAGCAGAGCAAACATACAACACACAGAGAACGTATCTGCGATTTCTCTTTTTTCAATAAATTTGTGGAGGTGGAGTGTAGGTGATGCAGAATTAACCCTTTGTTCTATCAATTATCAAATCTCCAGTTTCCACAATGTAGATAAACGAGCATCGATTCTTTTAGGAATAATAGAATGAAGTGTACAATAAATGCCCGTAAACCTAGTGTCAATGATTCGATATCACAGTAGTTATATTACACTGTTGTCTAGCTACTTGTGTTATTAAATATTTTCATTCGCTGGAATTCGCCGGCGAAGAGTCGAAAGGTACCCGAGCCACGCGAAAGTGAACGCGGAGGAAAGCGGCCGCGAGGAAAGAAACGACGGACGCTCGTTAATTACTCAGAGTTGTCGTTAACAACGAGATCGGCTCGGTTTTCTAGGCCTCGTGAGAAAGTTTACGGCTGGCCGCCGCGTCGAACGCTTTGTCTACAAATTGAGAGCCATTAAGAAGTGTAACGCGTTCGCTTTGCTCGGACACTGTAATTATTTCGTCGCGAGCGACGCG